ACATCCACGTCAGAATCCACCATTGCACTAGACATCCACGTCAGAATTCACTCTCTTTAACTTACACTTTGCTTGCCGAGGCTCTGCCATCTGATGGTTAGAAATGCTCTCGTCCTCTTTGCTTTGACTTTTCCAGTAACGGTGACTGAAGTTTTACCAAAGGAAAAGAAACAGAAAGATGAGAAGACCTTAACTCTTGGCCAAGCCGTGGTGGATCTTCTTCCTTTATTAGAAGGTCAGATGTATCATCTATCCAAAAGAAAAAAAATAGCAAAACTCATAAAACCTATACCTTGCAATGTGTGCAACCCAGCCTCCTTAACTTTGAAAGATGTTAGTGGAAAACGAAGACATGACTGTGCCTATAATGGCTTTGATCTGACCCTTTTTTCTTTGGCTCAACTTGACCTTACAGGAGAGGAGTCATTTGAAACGACAGTCCCATTACACCCTGTGCAGGGGTCACCCTTGGAAACTCCTTTACCAGGCTCTAAGGTAATCCGAGTTTTAAGTCTTAGTGTTTTCAGCCTGCCTCATAATCCAGATATAAGGTCCAGGTCAGGTGAGTGCAGTACATTGGCCACTTCCTTTCATTACACCAGTGGTGCTGGTTTATGGTTAGCCAGGATGAATAAACTAAGTCCCACCCTGTGGATTATAACCCAGTGTGATGCACTCACAGGGCAAAGAGCAGCCATTGGCTACTCCATGCAGAAGTATGTTAGGGAAGGCTTAATATGGAAATGCTTCTTTTTAAAAAAGATTTATTTATTTAATGTATATGAGTACACTGTCACTATCTTCAGACACACCAGAAGAGGACATCAGATCCCATTACAGATGGTTGTGAGCCACCATGTGGTTGCTGGGAATTGAACTCAGGACCTCTGGAAGAGCAGTCAGTGCTCTTAACCGCTGAGCCACCTCTCCAGCCCTGGAACTGCTTCTTGAGCTATGTATCTGTGGGTTAAGCTATGTATGACAGTATACTGCCCGTGGAGGCACAGCAGCTTGCCTCTGGTTGAAGACTTCTAATTGATTAGTACCAGCCAACACCATGTCCTGAATTTCAGAATGTGAGACTGCAATGCACTGGAATTCTCTGTAGTGACACCCTATAAACATCTAAGACACAACATTCTAAAACTGAACTCACTCTCTTCCTCTGAACTTGTTCTTTCTTTCATCTTAGTGTCTCGGGCTGGTGGCTTTGTCTATCCATGAAATTACACAACGGGATTTAAGTGACAGCCATGGATCCTAACGACCGGCCTCCAAATCCAGCCTATCTTACCTCCCAAACTACTTTAGAGCCTTTATACCATTTCCTACTCGACGTTACCTCAGTGTTCACTGGGTCCTTAGGCATACTCTTGGCACATGACCTTGCCTCCTCCCTCTCTTCAGCCTTCCTGTTGCTTACATAGTGACTAAGAGCAAATCTGATTACATCTTTTCCCTGCTTAGTGTGGCTCACGGACTTATCCACTGTGTGTGTCAAGGTCCAGATTTCTTTGCAAGCAGCCCACATTCCTGATAACAGGAGCCTTCCAGTCGATTGACTTGACTCACAGCACCTTATGCATTCCGTTCTGAACTACATCCTTACCTTTGCCTGAAGGCAGCACACTGTTTCAGCCCCTTTACTGTTGCTTTGCTTGGACTTAGAATTATTTTTTATTTCCCTTGTTGATCCAAGCCACAAACTCCTTGATATCCTGTAAAAGCAGGTTCTGATAGCATTGTTTTCTATTCTTTACCAGACCAATAATTAATTATTCTCTTCTTGCTGGGCGGTGGTGGCGCACGCCTGTAATCCCAGCACTTGGGAGGCAGAGGCAGGTGGATTTCTGAGTTCGAGGCCAGCCTGGTGTACAGAGTGAGTTCCAGGACAGCCAGGACTACACAGAGAAACCCTGTCTTGAAAAACCAAAAAAAAAAAAATATATTCTTTTCTTTTCTGCTGCTTCTCAACAAGAATATTTTGTACAGGATTTGTCATACGCATTAAACTGTAATACGAGTTTCATAATGAAAGGGAATGTGTCTTCTTTACCAGCATATTATTAGCAGTCAATACACATTTAGAGGCCAGTGAGATGGGTCAGAGGTAAACTTGGGTGCCAAGCCTTGAGCTCAGTCCTAGGGACTTACAGAGTAGAGGAAGAGAACCAACTTCCATAAGTTGTCCTCTGACCACCTACCCATTCATATAACTAAATAATAATTTTAAATATATAATTTTAAAGTTGTAAATGCGTATTTAGACCTTTTTATTGTATTGTGTGTGAGAATGTTAGGTGTACACACACACATATATAGATACTTGAAAATATCTTATTATAAAACACTGTATTTAAATTATAATAAATAATCATACAGGAGTGGGTATGGCGATACAGGTCTTCAATCCCAGCACTTGGGAGGCAGAATCAGGTAGCTCTCCATGAGTCTGAGGCTAGACTGGTGTCAGCCAGGGCAACATTGTGAGGCCCTGTATAATAATAGCAATAACGATGAAGAAGAAGATGATGATCTAGAGATAATGGTGATATAGACGACTTATGTGTAAAGCATTTGCCAGACAAGTGTGAGGACCCAAGTCCAAATTCCTAGAATCCATGGAAAACCAGATATGGGCTTTCACATCCCAGTGGAAAGTGAAACATATCCAAGGTCACCCTTCAACCCTCACAAGCTTACAATGGTACACACGTGCCTGACCACATATACACACATCCTGCATGCACACACCCCACATAATCGTAAACCACAGGCTACGGAAATAAAAGCACGCGATCCTGTTTGATGAGTGCCTGCCGGGTACACGAAGTATGGAACCATCCAGTTCCTGTTCTAGACATGTTTGTGTTTGTACTTTACCTCGCTGTTGTAGAGTGAAATGACTCTAGGTCAGTGTAAGATTCTCCAGTTCTCCTTTTGACTCTAACTCTTGTTTGGAAATAACTGACGTCATCTTGAGCTGTGGTAGAAGATAGTAAAGAGAATCAAGACCAATGTCAAGTTTCATAAATGTTGCTTTCTATTTATTTTATTTTACTTATTGTAATTTAATTTAATTTTATAGCAATGCAGTCTTGATGTGAAGGTATTTGTGGCAGAGCCCTTACTGACCCCAGCCCAGGTCTCAGCGAGCAATCTACTGAAGGTCACGCTGGAGGCAGCCTATTCTGTGCCCGAGTCATTCATACCAGTCGGGCCTCAGCAGAACTACATGGTTGGTCTGCAGGTTCCGTCGGTCGGAGAGGTAAAGCCCTACTTGCAGACGTTTACACAGGCTCAAGCAAGCCTGGACTCATGGCCATGTTCCTCCCTGCCAAGACTGCATTCAAACTCACTCTACCAGTGGCTAAGATTTATTTTAGGCTTAAAAATGAACACTTTGGTTTTACATTTATACCTTCACATTTCACATGTATATTTCACAATCTACACATTACATGTAGTTTAATAGTCAACATATAGTTATGGTCCAAAATCTGTGCATCATTTAAAAGTGGCCATGCTTTGGTGCTTACACATGGATTATCTGTGACTGTTTCATGAGTTTTGCATAAGTATCTCATTGTACAATCCTTTCATTTAATTCCAGGTAGTGCTTAGATCAGATTTTTATATACAGGAACACTTAAGGTTCTTGCTGGAGATTGCCAAGGTGCAATAGTTCCTGTCCTCACCTGAGCTACTGCCTCAGCCTGAATGTAAATCTGCATAACATGGTCCTTGTGCTGGGCATTGAGGTGGGCTCCAGACATACCTGACTTTCATTTCTAAAACTGGGACAACCTGGGACGAGTCTGGACGGTTGCCTTCCTATCCAGAACAACCCCATAACTGCACACGGCAACCCATACCTTGTTCTGCTCCCAACTACAAGTTTCTACTATCTTTTCCCCTTTGGGCTGCTGAGATGGCTTAAAGAGCAAAGTTTCTTACTGCTGAGCTGGATGACTTGAGTTTGATCCCTTGGACCTACCTAGGGGGAGAGAACTTCAACTCCCAAACACTGTTCATCAAACCTCCATACTCATTGGTGCACATGTGCGCACACACACACACACACACACACACACACACAAGCAAATAACTCAAATACTTTTTAAAAGAGAAATTTTCATTTTATCATCTTTTCTATCACTCACAGAGTTATACATTAGCACAAATAGGATAGAGGGTATAGGCCCCTATATAGAACCAGATAGTCATGGAAATAATACCCAGAATTCCACTGGGGAAAGTACTAAGCAGACTTTTTATACATTCCAAAGCCCTTTACAGGTGTCCTCACATCCGGTATTTATTATTTTAGAAGGACTACACTATGATATTCAGGAACGGAATTCTGAAGCTTGGAGGGGAAAGAGAACCTCTTCCCCGGCCTAAAAAATGGCCCATTGCCAACATTCTTGCTCCAGGAGCTAGTAACATTCCTGACGCATTCATTGTGGGGGGTCCCTACGAGGAAGAAGAAGGAGAACTCAACCACCCTGAGGTGAGAGAGAACATGTTTTCATGACAAATACAGTACGTTAATAAATTATAAACCCTTTGTGAATCTGAAATTTATACACACACACCTGACATTTGTCAAAACTGATTGCATGTCAAAAATCAAATATCATCTAATTCTGCAGAATAATTTATATCCAAATTACTCTTTATTTTACATTTGTTTCTTTTTTGAGTTGATAAGTATGTTATTCAGTGTTACTATAATGAAATAACTTATAGTAACTACTCCATAACCTACCAGCAGTACTACTCTTGGAGCCTCTAACACAGAGGTATATAAAGTTAAGAAGTCTTTCTCCCGTGTGTGCATCTTCTTCCTGATTCTTTTCCATCTCGGTACCTTAGTAGTTATTCTGTGATGGTTCCTCCAAGATGCCTCTTGAAAGTACAGAAAAAATGCAGTGACATGAAGACTGAGAGACAGAACCTGTCTTTCTGTCCTAGAAAAGAGGGAAAGGAAGTCAGATTTCAGAGGGACTGGCTTACCAAACTAAAACAAGTGTTTAACAGAAAACAATAAAAAGTTCCCAGATGGCTACATTTATATCAGTCTATTTGTGATGAGAAAATGCTTTTCCTCTTGATGATGATTCTAAAGGTGGCAAAATAATATTCACACAGCATTATAGCAAAATTTATAGCTAATTTTTTTTCTTGATTCTGGAGAAATGATTCAGTGGTTATGGCTGCTCTTCCCAAAGACTCAGGTTCAGTTTTCAGCACCCATGTGGGAGATCACAACCATCTGTAACTCCAGTTCCTGTAGGTCTGACATCCTCTTCTGGTTTCCCTGGCCACCAGGCACACACACGGTGCACAGCCATACATGCGGGCAAAGCACCCATATACGTTTAATGAAAAAAAATTGTTTTTCTTTAGGGAATCCAGAATTCGGTCATGTTATTTTCAGAACTAAAACACATCAAGAAGCCATTCCTATTTTTCTGTGTTTTCCACAGTATGTTTTTTGTTTCTAGACTGGATATAGATTGTGCTTTCCCATACCAGGAGCAGGGAAATATGTCGATTTCCCCTCACATATCAATAAACATTACTATATGCATATGGATACTGTCCCCATCACTTTTACAGGCCATTATACAACTTGCCTTGTTTTTTTAAACATCACTACATAAAATGTTTTTCATTCTTTTTCTTTCTTTTTTCTTTTTTTGTGGTTTCTATGTTATATGACATTGAGTGGACATACTTTACCTCACTTACTTACTTACTTACTCCCTGACTGGTGGCAACCAAAATTTTTCTAGTTTAATTTTTTTCTTTTTATTTCAACATAGAACACAGAAAATGATAGGGAAGTGATTGCAAATGGTTCCTGTACTAGTCGATGAACACCAGAAGAACCGTTCAGAAAAAGAATTACTGAAATGAGGATGTTGGATTCTTTTCATTGAGTCTAAATAGCCAAACTCTTAATAAGGCTAGCAATATTTAAAAATTACTGACATGTCTTTTTTCATCCTTTGTTTAGTGAATATTTGTAATTCCCTTATATTAATATTTTGTTTTATATATTTAGATATTATGCTATATTTTAGTTTACATAATTGTTTCTCAGCCTTGACCACACCTTGTAAAGGTGCCAGGTGTGCTAGCACATGCCTTTAATCTTGAATCAGGAGGGAGAAGATCTCTGTGTGTTTGAGTACATCCTGTTCTACATAGTGAGTTTCAGGCTAACTTAGACTACATAGTGAGACCCTGCCTCAAAAACCAAATCAAACTGAAAACACAATCTGTTTTTTGTTTTGTTTTGTTTTGTTTGTTTGTTTTTTGGGTTTTTTTTGTTTGTTTGTTTGTTTTTTTGTTTGTTTTTTGAGACAGAGTTTATCTGTGTAGCTCTGGCTGTCCTGGAACTCACTCTGTAGACCAGGCTGGCCACAATCTGTTTTTAATGAGACGGAATCTCCACATTTGTCTAAATTGGCCTTGAACTCAGCTTCCTGCCTCAGCCTCCTCAGAACCAGGGTTACAGAGATGCACCACTATGTATGGTCCCTGAAAATATTTTTAAGATGATGACAGTGGTGTGTTGGTTTTGTTTCTTATTGTTGTGGCACAATATTCTGAGGCAAGTGACTTGGGAGAGGAAGGGAGTGTTCAGAATCCAGGATGCAGTCTGTCATGTCAGGGAAGTCACAGACGTCCTAAGAGAGCTGGTCACATCACATCCGTAGTCAAAAGCAATGGATCCATGCACACAGCCTCGTCCTCAGCTCCTTTCAAGATTCCACTAAGAATGAATAAGTTAACACACTGCTGCTTGCTCTGTAGGAGGGCTCTTATTTAAGACCCTCCGTGATTTTAATATACGTTCTGAATGGAGAAGCACTGACTTGAAGTTATGTGCGTAAACACTTGGCATTCAGCACTGTATTCATCAGTAGGTTCTCTCATAGACTGAAGCAGGTGCAGTAGCCGCCATATACAAGAATGCCTACAGACCGACAGAGAACAGAAACTTCCATCTTATTCTCTCACAGGACAGGGAATTTAGGAACCAAGCCGAATGCACGAAGAAGAGGATCGTCTGGGACTTGGAAAGCCGCTGCTTCCTCCATCCTACTGCTGTTGCGAGGTGGGGAGGGAAATTCTTCACGTTATTTACTTTTGAGTTAAGGCCCTTTGAAACTTTCTCTTCCACTCTGTCTGCGTCAGCTTGACATTTTGTTTATCCACTGAGAGCAGAGGTCCTAGTGGAGACTTGCCAAGGTGAGCACTTCCTTTCCACCACATAAAATAATTCTCGTTGGCTCTACCTCATGGCTCAAGATTGCTAGAGCTTGTGCTTGCATGTGTGCGTGTGTGTGAGCATGCATGTGTGTGTGTGTGCATGCATGTAGTGTGTCTTTGCAGCTTTCATGGGCAGCAGAGAGAAGAGGCAAGAAGGTCATCTAGAGCCACACAGTTGGTATTGGTTCAAACTTCAGGAATTGTTTATTTTTAGTTTATTTAAGCACAGCATAATCTGGTAAGAACTATTCTTGTGAAGAGCAATACAGTTCCGTTTGCACATCGAAGCATGCCTAAATCTCTTTGAGGAACAAAGCAAGCTGAATACAGATCAGACATGACAACATTGAAACTGTAAAGTACCTGTGACACCTCCCATAAAGACAGGTTCTTTATGGATTGAATGAAAAAAAAAACAAGGGTTGGAGAGATAGATTGCTCAGAGGTTAAGGGCACTGACTGCTCTTCCAGAGGTCCTGAGTTCAATTCCCAGCAACCACCTGGTGGCTCACAACCATCTGTAATGGGATCTGATGCCCTCTCCTGGTGTGTCTGAAGACAGCTACAGTCTATTCATATACATAAAATAAATAAATAAATCTAAAAAAAAATTTTAAAAAAAGAAAGAAAACCAAATTTACAAGAAGAATCTGATGCTGATTCTGGATTTCAAAGAGGCCACTAGACTACAAAACATGTCTTCTCAAAGGCCAGAGCTACGTAGTGAGACCCTGCCTCAAAAAAACACTGTCAAGCATTTCAAACCATTTTCTTTCCAGCCCTCCTCGAAGCTTGAGGTTTCTTGCCTGCAGGGCTCCTACATTTAGAGCAGGTAGCCCTTATATCTGGGTGCCCTGGAATTTTTTAACTCTTAGTCTCAAATAAATTGTCTGAGTTACAGTTGAGGTTTTTTGGGGGCGAGGGGTTGGGTTGTTTATTTATTTATTTATTTATTTATTTGCTTTTTGGGTTTTTTTTTCCTGTTACTGTACTGGCCTTGGCTATCAGTAAAGTGGATCTCAGCTCTGATACTCTGTGTTTTTCCCATCTCTCCACATTACAGGTCACAATTTTCCCTTTACCTCAACTCTCTGATGGAGCTAAGGGAGAAAAAAGCCAAATTTTCAAGTTAACCAGCTTTTTATCTTGCTGTAAGCACAGCAGAGACACTTCAAAGCTGTGTCTGAGCTGGAAGTCCACTCAACCACCGTACAAATAAACACATTTGCCAACTTTGTTATTTCTTTAGGATAATTCACTAGACAGATGCAAACATTTTTATATCAGTTACTTAGTGCTATGAAAAAAATTGCCTGACCAGGGCATCTTCCTGGGAGGAGGAGGGGGAAGGTTGTTTTGTCTCATACTTCAAAGGTACAGTACATTATGGTGGGAAGTTAGGCGCTGAGACAGCGAGTCACACGTGTCTGGTGGCGTCAGGGAGCAGAGAGGCAGGTGAAGGCTGTCACTCCTGTCCTTATTCAGTTAGAGACCTCAGCTCTCCAAATGCTTGTCAGCCACATTCAGTCAGTGTGGGTCTTCCTTGTGCAGTTAAACCTGTCTAGAAACAGCCTAAGAAATATATCCAAGGATGGTAAATATAAGCCCTGCCAACCTGATGAGATTGACCGTTACAATTTCAGTGTGTTTGTTTATTTAGACAGGGGCTTCCTATGTAGATAAGGCTAGGCTCACCTGAAATCCAGCTCTCTGGCTTCTGTCTAGCAGTGCTAAGATTAAAGACATGCAGCCCCACCCCAAACCTCCCAGTGGATTGTTGGTTTTGAGACAGGGTCTTGCTATGTATCCCAGACTGGCCTGGAACTCTCTGTGCAGCCCTCCAACTTGGGATCCTCCTGTATTAGCTTCCTGTTGAGCTTATGCTGCTGTATGTCACCAAAAGATGTGTTATTTGAAATTATTAGCATCAAAAATTATTTTTATAAACCTATAAACCTAGGAAGGTTTTTAAAAATCAACCACCTGGGTTGGAGGGGTGGCTCAGCTGTTATGACAAGTGCCGTCTCTGCTTCCAAGGGACACTGGCTCGGTTCTACCATCCACATCAGTCAGCTCACAACTGCGAGGAGCTCCAGACCTAGGGCATCCAGTGCCACCAGCAGGCCTTGCACTGACATGCATGTAACTCACACAGAGACATACACATACACATGATTCAAAATAATCATTTAAAAAAAATCAGCAGTGTAGCCAGGGATGGTGTGGACATCTGTAATTCAGGTTCTCAGGAAACAGAAGGGTTCTAAGTATGAGACCAAACTGAGCTATACTAGTGAGACTGCCATCTGCCTCATAAGATAGATATTCACTGTCTCTCTGTCCTTATCTCTGTCTCTCATGCACGCACACATCTCCTCTCTCTCTCTCTCTCTCTCTCTCTCTCTCTCTCTCTCTCTCTCTCTCTCTCACACACACACACACACACACACACACACACACACACACACACCACATGTATTCCATTACTTTCTAGGCAATAGATTTTATTTTTAGTACTTTGAACTGAGCCCAGGACTAGGCAAGCACTGACTTGACCAACTGAGCCCCATCCCCAGCTCATTTTACTCATAATTTTCTTAAAAAGAAAAGTGTTTCCTTTAAGCATTTGCAGACAGAGCTGATGGCTTTTAATTTGCAGTTTACAGAAGCGAATTGCTGATTGCCGACTCTGGCCCGTGGAGATCACAAGAGTGCCTTTGATCGTTATGCCGAAAGGCAAACCAGGCAAACTTGAGAAGGTAAACATGTGGATCCCTAAAATAAACCGGGTGTGGTGGCTTCTGACCCTGGTTCCCAGCACTGGGAGACTGAGACAAGGATCATTTCAGATCTGGAGTTGGAGAGCAGCCTAGACAACAGAGAGAGCCTTCCTCTCAAGTTTGTAAAATTAGAAGTGACCTATCAAATCAAGTCTGTTATTCTGTGTCTCGGTGTCTAATCCAATTTTATTTGGCTGTTTCCCCTAATGCAACCAATCTGTGGCTCTTTGCCTAGAACTTTCTTAGCATACACACTGACAGCTCCTTTCCCAGGAAAACCAGGATGATTGGCCACTGAAGCTCCCTGTTGCTCACAAATACTTGTTCAAGCCTCATTTTCAGATACTTCCCCTGACCCCGTGTTACATACAGTCTAACCATAGGTACTGTAAGAAATAATTGGGGGCTGGAAAAGTAGCTCAGCAGTTAAGAGCACTGACTGTTCTTTTTTTTTTTTTAACATGCCAGCAATAATATTTATTATTATTCAGAAGTGGTCAAAAGACTTACAAGGCTCATTATTATAACCACATGTATGAAACATCACTTAGTGAGATAGAAGGAAAGAGACATATATATGTATTTATATTAAAAAAAATACACACACGTGCACTCTCTCAAGTGTTTGCCACACGGTGCTGTGAAGGAGGCAACAGGCTATACAGGTTCTGATATACATAACACATTAAAGAATCAAGCGTTTAAAAACCATACTTACAGTTGCAAAAATAAAGTTTTCTTTTTTCCAAGCATTTTGATCTGGGGTCAAGCAATGCAAATAATGAACACCGATGATTTTCATATGATTCTACACACATTGAAAATATCAATATACAAGAGCCAACAAACAAAACCACAACAAAAAAGAGTTATAGGAATGAGCAATGCATTTCATCCAAAGTCTAACAGCCTGTTTCATCCCACCCTCAGACATTACGGATCATAATTTATATTACTTGTATAGCAAGGTAAGCCAGAATAAAACAATCAACAGAAAGTCATGACTGCCCTCAGTCAGTCCAGCATTCCCCTAGTGCAACAGCATCATTTACCTGAAGGATCACGTGTCACAATTAAGGAGTACTCATACAAAACTATTTCCTTTATTCTTGAAAAAGTGCCACATACTATACTTCTTTCTCATTTAAAAAAATACACAACACATAAACTAATTAAAGACAGTCTGTCTCCATCTCTTGTCGATGAGGAAAGGCCAGAGGGATTCTTTGATTCCAATTTGAAATGGTGTCCGCTGGCCAATGCCCAAGGTCTCCAATTTGGAGCAATCGAGCTGAGCATTTTTGGGGCGTTGTACTCCTATGACAGGGCTGTCAGTAATAGGTCTCAAGTGACGACTGGGGAGGTTGAAGGCATCTGCAATTGCACACGCCATTTCATACTTGGTCATCTGCTCATTGCCAGACTAGTGAAAGGTTCCTTTAATGGATGGATCCAGCATCCTCTTCTCTGCCAGCTGCGGGCACACACTGGCTACATCTTTCACGGAGCACTGACTGTTCTTACAGAGGTCCTGAGTTCAATTCCCAGCCATCACATAGTGGCTCACAACCATCTGTAATGGGATCCGATGCCCTCTTCAGGTGTGTCTGAAGAGAGTTACAGTGTATTCACATATATTGAAATAAGTAAATAAGTAAATAAATAAATAAATAAATAAATCTTTAAAAATAATCATTTTTATCTAGGTCAAAATGAGTGATACAGTTCAATCTAGTTAACTTAGACTTGCCTACAAAAGGTGTTACACTGCTTGTTAATGCAATAGGATTCATAGATAAACCACGATTTTGGAAACACGGGATTTTGTGAGCCTACAACATGTTCTGTATCATTTTTCCTGTCTACGTCTCATCCTTCCGCCTTGTGCATATGTTCTGTGAGGGCAGCAGTCCTTCAATAGACTGCTTTTATAGTCTGCAGGAACCTAGCATGACACACAGCTCATAGCAGGGCTTTTGCAAGCATCTAAGTTATTTGGTTTGGTTTTGAAAGGGCTCTTTTGTGTAACAAAAATGTTACCACTATTATAAATAAGAGGCAGTCTTACCCACTACTGGTAGGGGTGGAAACTAGTCCGTCCACTGTGGAAATCAGCATGGAGGTTCCTTAAAAACTAAAAATAGATCTAGCATATGTCATAGCCGTCCCACTTGTGAGTATTTGCCCAAATGACTCCAAGTCAACACATCACAGAGATACTGGCACATCGGTGTTTGTTGCTGCACAGTTCACAGTAGCAAAGCTATGGAACCAGCCCCAGGAGTCAGCCACAGGGGGAAGGCTTTAAGACATGGAGCTTCCCTGTCAGTACAATGGTCATTTTAAATGGCAGTCTACTGAAGGATCCCTACCCTCATGGAATTTAAACACAAGGAGTAACAAAGAGACATACACAGGAAAAGATGATACAGGACATGTCGCAGGCTCATGAAACCCTGCCTTTCCAGAATCATGGCTTATCTACGAATCCTATCACATTAATAAGCAGTGTAACACATTCTGTAGGTAAGTCTAAATTAACTAGATTGAACTATATTACTCATTTTGACCTAGATAAAAATGATTATTTCTTATGGTACCTATGGTAAGACTATAAATACATAATGGGAAATTTTCCAACCATAAAGTATAAAGTAATGTCATCTGCAAGAAAATCGATGCAGTTATATGATACCAGTGACATCAGTCTCAGAAAGAGACATGCATATTTTTTGTCATTTGGAGTTCCTGGATTTAATACAGATACTTACAGTGATGTCTGTACATGTGACATGAAAGTAGAAGCAACACCAATTAGGGGACAAGAACCACTAAGGGGAAGAAGGGGAGGGGGAGGGCTGTGTGGAGGAGCCTGCTCAGTGCACACACATCTGTGACTGAACATGTCCTTATGTAACATGGCGCTGTGTACTGTGAACCTATACAATGAAAATGGTTTGTGTTTGTTATGTTTATATGTTTATTTTCATTTTATGTGCATTAGTGTTTTGACTGTATGTATGTCTGTATTAGGGTATCAGATCCCCTAGGGCTGGAGGTAAAGGCAGTTGTGAGAGGTCATGTGGGTGCTGGGAACCCAAGTCCCCTGGAAGAGCAGACAGTGCTCTTAACAACTGTTCCTTCTTGTTGTTGTTGTTTTGCTTTTGAGACAGAATCTCTCTACATAGCTGGAATGAGTAGAATCTCTCTACATACCTGGCTGTCCTGGAACTCATTATGTAGACCAGGCTAGCCTCAAACTCACAGAGATCCTCCTGCTTCTGCCTCCAGAGTGCTGGGATTCAAGGCATGTGACACCATGCCTACCCTTGAAAATCCTTTTAAATGCTGGTTCTGTGTGTGATAGGCATGCATATGCGACTGTCTGTGTGTGTGTGGGGTGCACATGTGCATGAGTGCATGTGCACATGTGTGTATGTGTACCACATGTTTTCCTTGGTGCCCCCCACCTTGGGTTACAGCCAAGTCTCTCACCTTGGACTCAGAGTCCCTGACTTGGGCTGGTCTAGCTCGCTGGCCTGCTCTGAGAGCTCCTGTCCCAGCCTCCCCTGTGTTGGGATTCCAGTGGGTTTCTCCCCATGGTCAGCGTTTATGGGTGTGCTGGGATCCAGATTTCTGTCCTCACACTTGTGGGGCAACCACTGTGTCCTCTGAGCCACCCCCAAAAGAGTTTTTAAATAAGGAAGCCCTACTCTATCTGAAACGGATTAGTTACATCAGCATGTAACTATTTCCCTCTTTTATTATATATAGTATATATTAGCTGATATTCCTTAGATATCAAAGCCATGAAATGTTATGATGGAAACAAAGGATTTTTTCATCTTGCATCTGTTTTTATAGTAGGCACATTTAAAGAGATTACTTTTAAGCTTGGAATTGATAATTTCTCTAAAACTTGGTTTTTCCTTAGCATATTTTATGGCACAATGACATTTCAGTATGTTCATTAGAGGCACTGTCTCTTAGGAGTGAGAGTTTGGATGGAATCAGGAATCGCCAATATGAGGGCCTTAGTCTGTGGCAGGTGTCGCTGATTGGTGGAAGCACTCTGTGGAACCTGGATACATAGAGAGACCCTTTCTCAGCAAAGCATGACCTATCAGCTGAGAGGCTAAGCCAAAATATGCTAGTCAGAAGCCATAGTAAAGCTTTGGAAGGTTCTGCTCGTGTCACAGAACTCTCTGAAATACAGTTTGAGCCAGGCCATCTGATTATCTTAAATTTTGTTATTATCTTTTTTTACAAAATTTTACTGTTCTCCTAAGAAGCGATTTGCTGAAATGGATTTTTTGGTTGGATATTTATAATTTCAATTCAGTTGAATATATGTTGACTTGGCTACAGCCTTTATCCCTTTAACCCTGCTAATATGCATTGCCTGTGGCTGTTAAACCCACCCTGGAAATGATGCCAGGCCCCAAAGTGTCTGTCACTGAGCAAAGAGACACAGCTACTTGCTTAGCAGAGCTTGTTTCTAGAACAAGTCTTCGATCTCTAGTCTGACCTCCACACCATATGCCCCTTTGCTCTGTAGCTGTAACAGCTCTGCTCGTTTTCCCTCAGACCGAAGATGAAAACCAGCTTTCCTTTCATGGTGTGGCTTACATCAACATGGTCCCACTCCTGTATCCAGGAGTGAAGAGGATAAGGGGGGCTTTTCATGTGTACCCCTACCTGGATGGGACAGTCTTTGAAAAGGTAAGAAATTGCATAAGATGCATCCTCCTAATTTATCATCCGTATATGTATTTGATTGTGTCTTTAGCACTCAGGTCTTTGCAGTGACGTCTAGAACCAGTTAGTATATGGCATTCACCACTGTGTACTGTAAAGAGAGGTCCCTTTCGTTAATGCTGAGAGAAGCATTCATCTTTGGGTGATAAACATACATGATCAGACATCGTTTCAGTGCTATGTAAATTTAGTTCCTTTTTGACCTCCCCAGGCACTGGTTGCTAACTGAGTTTGCTGTATAGGCAGGGTTTCTTGTATGTAGCTCAGGCTGTTCTTGAACTTGCAACTTTTCTGCCTCTGTCTCCCAAGTACATGGGATTATAGGACTCGACCATGTTTTGTTTTGGGTTTTTTGTTTTTCTGGAGACAGAGTCCCATTGTGCCACCTTGGCTGTCCTGGAACTTGCCTCAAACTCACAAAGATCCATCTGCCTCTGCCTCCTAACTGCTGGGATTAAAGGTGTGCATCACCACGGCAGGCCTGAGTATGGTATTATTATTATTATGTATGAGTGCTCTGTTTGTATATACACATAAATGCCAGAAGAGGGCATCAGATCCCTTTTATAGATAACCACCATGTGGTTGCTGGGAATTGAAGTCAGGACCTCTGGAAGAGCAGTTAACTGTTAAGCTTTAACTGCTGAGCCATGTCACCAGACCCTATTTTATTATTTTCATTTGTGTTGGCAAGATGCTCAGAGAGTAGAGGCACTTTCAAGCAGGCCCGACAACCTGAATTTGATCCCCAGCTCCCACAAGATAACAGGGAAGCACTTCTCTTAAGAGTTATTTGCTCACAGACAGACACAAATAAAACCAATACAATTAAAGTTATTTATTTGTCTTTTTATTATTTAAAACAATCTTTAAATTTAAATATATTTGGCCATATTCTTCTCCTTCCCCAAGTCCTTACAAATCCTGTCCCTGTCCCCTGCCTACCCAACTTTAAGTTCTTTCCCAAAGACAAAACAAAACAGCAAACGCCAAATACAACTAGAAAACAAAATAAAACAACATCCAAACAAGAAAACAAAACAAAACAAACCCACCAAACTGTAACTAGATAAAAGCACACAAGAAACTGTGGAGTCCATTATAGTTGGTCAGCTAGTGCTGACCATGAGACCTGACCTGGAGTGGTTGCTATGTGACAGCTCAGTTGTTAACCCTCACCATAGTGGCCAAGTTTTCACTCACTCATTTGTTCATTCATTTAAAAAATATAACAAAATAAGATAAAACAAAAGCTATCACATCGAAGTTGGAAGGATAAATCAACAGAGGGGAAAGAGCCCAAGAGAAGAAGGCAGAAGAATCAGAGTGTCATTTGTTTACACACTTAGGTATCCCGTAAGAACACTGAACTGGAAGCCGTTATGTATGTGCATGTGCGTGTGAGTGTATGTGTATGTGTGTGTGCATGTGGGTGTGGGTGTGCGTGTGCGTGTGCGTGTGCTTGTGTATGTGTATATATGCATGCCCTGAGGACATGATGCAGACCCGTGCAAGCCCTGTGCATGCTGACTCAGTCTCTGTGAGTTCATGTGAGCTTTGCTGATGTTGCTGTAGAGGGCCTTGTTTTCTTGGTGACCCCCATCCCCTCTGGCTCTTACATACACTCTTTCTGCCTCCTCGTCTGCCAGGTTCCCTGAGCTCTGAGGAGAGGGATTTGATGGAGACATCTCATCTAGGGCAGAGCATTCCAAGGTCTCTCACTCTGTGGAATGTCTGATTGAGGCTCTCCGCATTTGTTCTCAGCTGCAGGAGAAGCTTCTCTGATGGTGGCTGATCAAGGCTGATCCATGAGGATAGCAGAAAGTCATTAGATTGATTTTATTACCATGTTTTTAGGGTTTTTTTTCTTTATGTGTTTAGATCAGTATTATTTGTTTTGACTCTAGGTCCTGGCTATCTAGTCTCTAGTTCTTGGTCACCTAGGAAATGTCAGGTATAGGTTTTATCTCAGGGAGCGGGCCTTATGTCCAGTCAGTTATTGGTTGGTTACTCCCACAAGCTGTGCTCCAGCGTTGCCCTGTGTATCTTTCAGACAGTTCGCCACTGTAGATTAAAGGGGTTTAAGTTATTTTAATGATAAATCCTTATAAGTTTGATATTTATTTATGCATTTATGCATTTATGTATTTATATATGTATGTATTTATTTATTTTTGGTTATTTTCTAGATAGGTTTTCTCTGTGTAACCTTGGCTGGCCTGGAACTCTCTCTGTAGACCAGACTGGCCTTGAACTCAGAGATTCGCCTTCCTCTGCCTTCCAAGTGCTGGGAATAAAGGTATGTGCATCACGCCTGGCTGATTTCTATTTTTAAAAAAGAGTCTGCTACTCGCTTGGTATGCAAATGGATGGTGGATCTTCCATAACTTTATTATTGAAAAATAACTATCTTTGTGATGATTGTATAATGTATTTTTATTGTTAAATTTTACAGGGGATTACTTTCCCCTAGAAAACATGACAAAAATTGACTGTGGTTTGAACTATACATACCAAGGTTTTATCGTGAGCTTTAAACTTGCCTTATTCTTCCAGTCATATTTGATAATAGTAATTAGGCAAATATTGTTTCTTTTGTAGAAATGAGTTATTTTACTTGAGGTAATTCAGAATTATATGTCAAAGAGGAAATCTTTCTGATGACTACAGTTATGACAGCAAAATCAAGTGCAGGTGCCAGGTCTCCTCCTACCATGCTACGTAACAGGGAGGCAGCTCATTTCCAGTGGCCACTTTATGTGCTCCATAAGGGAGGGGTTTAGTGAGGGTCTTCAGGTCTCCATTCTGGCGGCTGAAATGATCTGAAGAAGCTGTCCCCCCTGGGGGCGGGGCGGAAGATCCATTACCTATGACTCATTGTTCGATTGCTTTGCTTGTTTCTTTTCAGACAAAGTGCTTGTTCAGCTTATTCAGGGACACTGGGCACCATTTGGTTCACAACAATAAAGCAGGAGGACTTAACTCTCCACTGTCCAAACCTCTCTCCAAGAATCTGAAAGAAGAGAGACTAGGGAAAGAGAAGGACATAGAAGGACGGGCTCGGCTCGGAGAGTTGGTAGGCTCTTGAGACCATACGTACAGACGTTTGTACTCGTTTCCCATCTGAAGAATTGTATTGATGTATTTTGAGTCTTAACGTCCCCAGTACTATGAAGAACATGAAACAACCCACGTTTTGATGTTTTTGTTTGTTTGTTCGTTTGTTTCAGCAAGCACCTAGTATAAAATCGCAGAGCTCAGACACCCCTTTGGAAAGTGAAGCCCCCCTGAGCCACAATCTTGAAGGACAGGTAACTATATTCATCATTTCAGAAACTAAACTCGATTCTCCTGGACTTTGCCTGAGTAACACAGCTTTCATGGCTAACGCTAGAGGTGGGACATGAGTCACCACAAATGCTTGCTCATGCATAGTCTGCGACCTTGGGCAAGCTTGTTCACTGCGACCTCAAAGTGAGTTGGCACCAGATTGTTGTTAAGCTCCTTTCCAGAATCAAACTGGTTTAGTTTAGTTTTGTTTTTTTTTTCCAGACAGAGTTTCTCTGTGCAGAGAAAAGAGGAAAGAGTGGTGTGCATTTAAAATAGTTCCAAGAGCAAAATGAATGAGTTCACCAGGCATGGTGGTACACACTGGGGAGGCAGGAGGATCTCAAGTTCAAGGCTCTGGTCCACACAGAGTGCCAGGTCAACCAGGGCTACATAGTGATACTTTGTCTCAAAAAAAGAAAATAAGTAAATTTAAAAAAAAAAGTATGTTCAATGAGAGCCATTAGAGTAGAAATTTCAAGAACAGCCATGAAAATGCTTTCTTCCATGAGGTAACCTCTACTTCTACATACCTGTCAAATTATTACCCATGTAAAATATGTGACCCACAGAGATCACACCATATATGCAGGTTTTTTTTTTTCTGGTTTTTCGGAGACAGGGTTTCTCTGTGTAGCCCTGGCTGTCCTGGAACTCACTCTGTAGACCAGGCTGGCCTCGAACTCAGAAATCCGCCTGTCTCTGCCTCCCAAGTGCTGGGATTAAAGGCGTGCACCACCACTGCCTGGCCATATATGCAGTTTTATACACATATTTTTGCTCAGTATATTGTAAGTAGTACCTGATGTTACTAAAAATGTTTTGTCACTGCCTTTTTATGAGATTAACAAATAACTATGTCTTTGCAGCAATATATAGAAGCTGGGACATACATTGTCTTGGAGATCCAGCTGGACAAAGCCCTGGTTCCAAAGCGGATGCCAGAGGAACTGGCTAGAAGGTGCGGGGCACTTATTCTCCTGTTTGGTACAGTTTAGGAATGAGGAAGAGGCCACTTAGTTTGTCTCCCAAATGTAACCTCCCCTGTCCTGAGCAGCAGTGTTTAGTCTTTGCTACGGATAGAGTTTACTTCATTATTGTTTCTGCATTCCAAGTGTCATTACATTTTTTTCAGTTGACATGAGCAAGAAAGTATAAAACACCCAAATTCCTACTGTCTGGTGACAGTATTTTCACACCTTGCTGTCTGTCTGGGAGTCGCTTTAAGGCCATAGGCGACAACACTCATGCACATGCGTCACATATACATATATATAATTCTTGAAAACTGTTTTTACTGTACCATCACTGTGTTACGTGTTACTATTTCAGCAGTAATCTAAATTTGTTGGTACATAGTGGCTAAGTGACTAGGAGCACTTGGCTGCTCTCCCAGAGGACCCGAGTTTGGTTCCCAGCACCTACATGCTGTCTAACAACTGCTGTAACTCCGGTTCTAGGGCGTCTGGAGCTCTCTCCTGGCCTCTTCTGCACTCATTTGCATGTAGTGCATGTTTATCAATGGAGGCAAACCGCTCATACACATAGAATAAAAACAAGTAAATATTTATTTATTTATTTATTTAGGAGACAGACTTTCTCTGTGTAGCCTTGGCTGTCTTGGAACTCACTCTGTATCATAGCCTGCTTCTGCCTCCTAAGTGCTGGGATTAAAGTGTACGCTACCACCACATAGCTCAAACAAACAAATCTTTAAAACAAAAAAAAGTATTCTCTTAGAGCCTGATAGTGTTATTGTAATTTAACAATACAGTTGTAGCCAGACAGTGGTGGCGCACGCCTGTAATCCCAGCACTTGGGAGGCAGAGGCAGGCGGATTTCTGAGTTTGAGGCCAGCCTGGTCTACAGAGTGAGTTCCAGGACAGCCAGGGCTACACAGGGAAACCCTGTCTCGAAAAAACAAAACAAAACAAAATACAGTTGTATAAATTATGATTAAGAGCATTCATTTTGGGCTGGATGAGATAGCTCAGTGGTTAAGAGCACTGACTACTCTTCCAGAGGTCCTGAGTTCAATTCCCAGCAACCACATGGTGGCTCACAACCATCATGTGATGGGATTCGATGACCTCTTCTGGTGTGTCTGAAGACGGCTACAGTGTATTCATATAAATAAAAAATAAATAAATCTTAAAACAAAATAAAAACAAACAAAACCAAAAATCGTAGGTGGAAAGGAAACTTAGTTTTCCAAATCTGTGTACTTTCAGAAACACAGATATTCAGAAACACACAGATACAAATTATTTTCTAATCCTTAGTCCAGAGGCCATTTACCAATACTTTAAAAAAAAAAAAGCGTGAGGATAAAGCCAGGCTCAAATCAGTACCATCTTATATACTGTCCTAGGATTCAGATCTAGGGTTTTATGTGAGAAAACTCAAATCCTCAAATGCAGTAGAAAGATAGACCTCGGCTGTCCTCTACATGGACTCTGGGGAGATATGAAAGAACACAGGCCTGCAGATAATAAAGTTTTTGTTGTTTTTGTTGCTTTTTCCTGATACAGAGTCAAGGAAATGATACCCCCGAGGCCACCTCTCACCCGCCGGACAGGGGGAGCTCAGAAGGCAAGTGTTAATGCCAGGGCGAAACTGTGGGTAACAATGCATTTGAAGCCAACACAAACTCTTCGGTGTGGCTTCCTGAAGTGTGGCAGTGTGTGTGTGTATCCATTTGTGATCAGTGAATCCTGTACAGTGTGTTGAGGACTTCTAATCTGTTCCCTGCGGAACCTTGGTTGTTTTCCCAGGCTGTGAGTGATTACCACACGCAGATCAAGAGCATCTCTAGAGCCATTCTGAATGAATACCACCGCATGTTTGGGAAGCAAGGGACTAAACTGTTGAGTGACATAGACAACGAAACCATGGAGGAGCAGAAGTGCCAGCTCAACTATGAGCTCAACTGCTCTGGAAAGTACTTTGCTTTCAAAGAACAGCTCAAGGTGAAGCCTGCATTTCTTTTAAGTATTGTATCAGCCAGTGGCGCTCCTCCGCCACACACATGCTCAATAGTTTCTGCTCTGATTCTGCTCGGCTAGATGCTCTGGGACAGAATGTCAGAAAACAATCTACTTCTGCAGTCTCGGGATGCTATAGATTTATTCCAAATGAGAGCCTGTAAGACCCAAATCTTCATTTGAGACTGGGCTGGACTTGAGAGCAAACTTCACACCCTCCACTAGCAGAAATGATGTTCTTGACACTATAACGGATTCTCGTTATCTTTCACCTCTTTGTCTGCAGAGTAAGAGTTGTGAACTGGTGCTACACACTTGTAATGCTAGTTCTCAGCAGGTGGAGGATCAAGGCCAGCCTTAGCTACAGAACAAATCTGAGGCTAGCCTGGGCTCTGGGCTATGATGAGATCTTGTTCAAACCAAACCAAACAAACCTAGTCTTTTAAAATAGTAATGGCTAGTATTTATGTTCACAATGTTTTTTTGTTTTTGTTTTTGTTTTTGTTTTTTTAGTTTTGAGGATGAGTTATTTTTGAGCAATGAGATAATATTGGGATTATTATGAGTATTAATATGATGAAGATGTTTAGTATTTAACCTGACTTAGCGAGGGAAAAAAGAAACAGCAGCTGTCAGGCCATTCCCAACATGCTGAATTTACATATTCTTCTCCCCGTATCTGTGGCGTATGTGTTCTAAGATCCCCAGTAGATGTTCAGGGCTGTGAATAAGGAGCTGGAGAGATGGCTCAGCAGTTAAGAGCACTGGCTGCTCTCCAGAGGACCAGGTTTGCTCTCCAGCACTCTCATGGAGGCTCACAGTCATCTGTAACTGCAATCTCAGGGAACCTGATACCCTCTTCTGGCCTCTCTGGGCATCAGGCATACATGCACACAGACATATATACAGGCAGAACATCTATATACATAAAATAGAAATAAGTAAATAGCCTTAAACTGTGAATAACACTAAAGCTTGTATGTTTTCCTCTGTGTATGTTATCTATGATTTTTTTTCACTCAACAGAAGCACTTTATGGCTTCTCTTTGGTGTATCCAAACTGCTGGCATCATTCACTGCTGCTGCTATGGTGCCTTTATTCTGTTCAGTAGGGTCTGTTGAATATACTTGCTATGGTATGTTGGCTGTCAATCTGATAACATCATGTCCACTGAGTGCTTAGTGCTTGGTATCCTATACAGTATGAAATGTTAAGCAGAAGACACCTCAGAGCCAAGGAGTTGGATACAGTGTGAGACTTCTACATCTATCCAGATCACTGATCAACTTAAAGCTTATGAATTGTTCATTTATGGAATTTTCCACTTGTTTTCAAACTGGAATTGACCATGGATAATGGACTGCAGCTACAGCAAGACTACTGTATTTGTCTAATTTTTTGTTTTTTAAACAATGTCTGGCTGTACAACCTTGGCTGTCTTGAATTATGGCTCTCTCCTGGCTTTGCTCTCCTGGTGCTGGCTTTATAGGCATGGGCCACCACACACAGTTTTATGAAATTTCAACTGTCTATCTCTGTTTTCTTTGTTCAGCTTCTCAGTAACCATCTGAAGTATAATGGCAACACTGGAACTCTGTATTTACTTAACAAATAAGGAAACTGGAGTACCAAAATAGAATATATGATGCTAGCTGGTGGTGGTGCACACTTTTAATTCCAGCACTTGGAGGGTAAAGGCAGGAGGATTTCTGTAGGCCAGCCTGGTCTACAGAGGGAATTTCAGAATTTCAGGACAGTCAGAGCGAGAGGGAGAGTGAAAGCGAGAGCGAGAGCGAGAGAGGGGGGAGGGGTAACTTGTCCTCCCCCCCAAAACACAAGACAAAACAAAACATACAAGCAAAGAATACATGAAAGGGTACAGTGACAGTGTTTAAACCAGAATCCCATTCTCTAGCCTCTCAGACCTTTCTCCATGACACCGAATGGCTACTGGGAAAGACACAAGTCACAAACCTACTCTCAAGGTTTTTTCAGCTCCGTGACCCTCTTCACATGGTATGGGCGCTTTTCCTCTGTTAGTGATGTTGCAAAATCTCTAAAATAATTTCTTACAACCCAGGCTTGAGGCACATGTCTAGTGCTTGGGAGACAGAGGCAGGAAATGTGCGTTGAAGAGCACCATGGGCTACAAAGTATGCTCCAGGCCAGCCTGGGCTACATAGTGAGACTGTCATTAAATACATAAATCCATTCAGAACATGTTGACTGGGGACCTGTTAGCACTGAGAGCCTCACAGTTGACAGGGAAGTAACTGACCAACACTTGAGGTTCCGATGGGCCTGATATCAGAAGTCCTAAAGACCTGGGTGTCAGTACACTGCTGAACCGCAGCATCAGACGGGAATGTGTATGTCTTGCAGCATGCTGTGGTAAAGATTGTGAGAGAGAAATACTTGAAGACGACAGCATTCGAAAGCCAGGAGGAACTGCAGACATTTATCAGTGAGCTTTATGTGTTCTTGGTAGATCAAATGCATGTGGCCCTGAACCAGGTAGGTGTTTACAGCTGAGAGCCCACCCCCTCAGAGGGCAGCAGGGATTCTTTCTAAACATTCCTTCCTTCCTTTGCTCATTGTCTTCCTTTATTCAACAAACACAATGAAGTAGTCTGTTCTGTACAGACAGTCCATTTGGAGGAGAAGGAACATAATTTTTCAGTTTCCTAGAAAAATTAGTTCTCCAGCTTTAAAGAATGTGACACAGGACTGGAGAGACGGCTCAGTGGTTAAGAGGACTGGTTGCTCTTCCAGAGGACACAAGTTTGATCCCTGCATCCACATGGTGGCTCATAATTGTCTGCACCCTCATCTGGCCTCAGACTAGACATGCATGCACTAACACACACACACACACACACACACACACACACACACACACATACACACACACACACACACAAACACACACATACACACAAGAAGAATAAAGGGTTTCTTTATATAGCCCTGGCTGTCCTGGAACTCACTCTGTAGACCAGGCTGGCCTCGAACTCAGAAATCTGCCTGCCTCTGCCTCCCAAGTGCTGGGATTAAAGGCGTGCGCCACCACCGCCCGGCCAGAATAAAAGATTTTTAATGTGACAGGATTGTTAAATAAAAACTATGGAAATCATGAAATGAAACATTTTCTGAATATGCACAAGTCTCAATTTTTCTTCAGGGTAATAAAAATAAGGGAAAAACGTATCTTTGGATATTTGAAAACTCATGTTTGAATTGCTACTGTAAAGATGATGGTAGCAATTAAAATTTATTTATTTTATGTATGTGAGTACATTGTCACTCTCTTTAGACACTCCTGAAGAGGGCATCAGATCCCATTACAGATAGTTGTGAGCCACTATATGGTTGCTAGGAATTGAACTCAGGACCTTGGGAAGAGCAGACAGTTCTCTTAACTGCTGAGCCATCTCTCCAAACCCCTGCCTTTAAATTTTTAAATTTCATTTTCATATATTTTGTGTGTCACAGTGTATTTGTCGAGGTCCCTCCTTCCCCGGGGCCAGATTTAAGTCGTTAGGATCGGCAGCAGATCCCTTTACCCACAGCCCCCTTGCCAGCTCAGAGCGTGCGTCTTAGTGACTGACGTTGCTTTGTACTCACGAGTCTGTCCGTGTGTGCACACTTGCATCTCGCCTGCTTTTCTGCATTCTTGCTTGTAGTCAACTGTTACTTGGTGTAACAGCCAAGCCACCTCACAGCCTCTGTCTGTCTTCTTTTCTCTTTCCTCGCTGCAGTCTTTCTTTCCTGACCTTCCCTTACATGCATCAGTCTTCTTGGAATAGGTAAGCCAGGATAGCATGATGCTATAGGGTTAGGGCAATCCTGCTTGGAAGTGGGTGTGGGTGGCATGTATGATTTGTTTGGAAAGCTCTTGACAGTTGAGATGCAACTGTTTGCCACCTTCCATCCCTGAGAACTTTTGTCTAGAAGAGGAGTCAGGCTTGAGACACAGATGAGGTAGATCCTTTGATAGAGGCATGTCTCTACAGGGGCAGGCCAGAGCTTTGTGCAGTGCTGGGACCTTTCAGGAAAGGCTTCATAAAAGATCTGGGCCTTGAGCTGGGCCTTCGAAGCTGTAAACATCTCCAGGTGAATGTTTCAGAGCATTGAGTCACAAGGTACACCACAAGGCTTAGGAGCTCAAGAACGTGATAAATACGTTTCTGTAGAGGCCACAGAGTTCAGGAGCAGAGACTGAAGTTATGTACGGTCGGAGAATCAGGACTTGAAGCTGGGGACCCATTCCTGATGAGAGCTTTGGGAGGGTGGAGGAAAGGCCTTGAGTGCTTCACAAAGAAAAATTCCAGGGTTGGAGGAATAGCTAAGCAACTGTAGAGAGCTCTGGATGCTCTTCCAGAGGACCTGGGTTCAATTCCTAGCACCTACATGGTGGTTAACAACCATCCATAATTCCAGTTCCAGGTGAATCTGACACCCTCTTCTGGTATCCATGGACACCAGGCATACACATAGTACACAGATATGAGCAGGCAAAACATCCACTCACATAAATTATTTTTTTAATTTAAAATTTTCCCCCTTTTCCCTATGAACAGGAATTAATTCAATTACTCACACTGAGATATAGTTTGATTAGATTAATATTTTTACAGAAAATAACTCTCATTGTAGTTACAGAAGCTAGACTTGAGGTAACTCTGGTGATATGTCTGGTTATTACATACTCAGGGAAGAAGAGTCAAGGATCCTTTTTTAAAGTATTTATTTTCATTTTACATGTGTAGGTGTTTTACCTGCACATATGTATCTATTATGTGCATGCAGTGCCCACAGAGGCCAGCAGAGGGCATCAGGTCCCCTTAAACTGTGTCATAGGTGGTTGTGAGCTGCAGCCATGTGGGTGCTGGGAACTGAATCCACGTCCTGTGCTAGAGCAGCCAGTGCTCTTATCCTCAGAGCCATCTCTCCAGGCCTGAGCCAAGTGTTCTTAAGCTTAGGGCCTGGTGACTGAGCATTGGTGGCCAAGGAACAGAGCAAGAGTAGATGTGGGGATGCAGGTTATACTGGGTTTATTTTTGAACATCAGCACTGGTGGGTCTTTGCTTAAGAGAGAGCAGTTTGACCTAGAGATGAGGTTTGAGGAGCCATGTGACCAGAGACACAACCGCCTGAAAAAAATATGAGGAAAGACCGGGGGCTCTGGTAGCAGATGCCTAGGAAGTACGAGTGAAGGGATGGGTGAGCAGAAGAAATGGCAAGGGGGACAAATGAAGCTGTTCAGGAAGCAGGGGAGTGTGGGGTTGCCGGAGCCAAGGAGAAAGCATTAAAAAGAAAACAGATGTACATTGTCCAATACTTAGGAATTCAAGAAAAACAAATCTGGGGAATTTTGTTGGATCTGACAATAAGGAGATTATTGTCAAACTTTCCATGGGAATTTTCATTTACACTGGAAAGATTCAAACTAAAATTAACTGAGTAGTAAATATATCGATAGGAAATAATGTACATTCAAGAAGTTGGACAAAGAAACATAGAATCTAGAAATTACAGGACTGCTCTCTTTAAGGCGAGCGCTTAAATGGGCTGGTAAATGAAGTGGGCAAAGTGGAAAAGTTAAAACCAAGTGAGTCCTGGGCGTGGTGACTCCAGCACCCATGAGGCTGAATGAGGCAGGGGGATAGCCATGCATGGAGGCCAGCTTGGGCTTCATAGTGAGTTCTAGGCTTGCCTGGGCTACATTGTTCTTTTCGGACTATCATGGGCGAGAGTGTGAGAGCCTGTCTCAAAGAAAGCAAACAAGAAAATGAAGTAAAGGGAGGACGTACAGTGAGAAAGCCCTAGGTGGACAACCGAGGGAACCAGGGCTTGAGGTGGAAAGGTTAGCCTTAAAAAGGAGGAAAGAAACCTTGGGTGACTCTCCATCTGAGATCACAAGGACAGAGCACGGGTAGAAACAGCTTAAATGAGGAGCTAACAGTTGAGGGGTTAGTAGCTAGGGAGATGGCTCAGCAGTTAAGAGCACTGATTATTTTTTCAGAGGACCTGGTTTCCGTTCCCAGTACCCACATGGCAGCTCACAATTGTCCCTAACCCTCACACAGAGAAGTGTGCAAAACACCAATATACATAATATTTTTTAAAGCTTATTAAAAAGAAAATAGTTTATTAAAAATGTTGAGGGTTTAGACTGGGACTATAGCTCAGTTAGAGCATTTCTCAGGCTTATGTGAGGTCCTAGACTGCTCCGGTACATTTGAGAAATTAAGGGTTGCTTGCCTAATGCCTCTCTTTCTTTCTTTTGACAATGTTTCAAATAATCTAGGCTAGCTCTGAACTTGCTATGTAGCCAAGGATGGCCTTGAACGGATCCTTCTGCCTCCATCTCCCAAGTGCCTACTATGGTTAGCCTTTCTATTACCTCTATGAAAGAAATCGTTATTGAAACAATGGAACCTGGCCCTGTAGCTGCAGGAATGAAATACCAGTTGCTCTGGAGGCTGAGGCAGGAGGATTGAAAGGTAAAGGCCTGCATGGTCTATAGAGGGAATTCAGGACAAGCTCACTCCTTCCATTATACATGAATGTGCTCACGCACATGCACACACACACACACACACTTGCGCGCACACACACACACTTCATTTATGTTATGACTGGATCTCATATCCAGTTTATTTTATAAACATTTCCACATGTAATTGTTTATTTTGTTTGTTTATGATCTCAATGACAAGGCCATCCCGGATGATGTTCCAAGCACCACCTCAACGATTCAGACAAGCAGCAATCAGCTTCGACTCTTTGCCTTTGAGGCAGAAGTCAACGAGAACTTTGAAATGGCAGCAGTGTATTATGAAGAGGTAACCAGACGTCTCAGTGATTGTTGTTGTTATTTGTGAATCTGTGTAAAATTATGTTTTTTTTGTTTGTGTGTTTATAGAGTTGTTTAATTGGTTTTGGTTTTAGGAGACAGAGTTTTTCTGTGTATCCCTGGCTGTCCTGGACTTACTCTGTAGACCAGGCTGGCCTCGAACTCAAAGAGATCTGCCAGCCTCTGCCTCCTGAGTGTTACGATTAAAGGTGTGTGTCATCGCCACCCATTAAATTGTAGGATTTTATTAAATTTAAACTTGATCAGTCAAACTGTAGACACAGATCAGTAGGACAGAGAGACCAAACCCATGCCCGTATGAATAAGATCATTTGATTTTTGGTTTTGGTTTTGTTATTTATTTATCTTTTTCTTTTTTGGAGACAGGGTCTTGTGTATCCCAGGCTGACCTTAAAATCATTACATAGCCAAGGGCAAACTTGAACTTCTCTTCTTCCTCTCTTCCTTTCTCCAATGTTAAGATCATAGCAGCACCCACAGCCCTCCCAGTTCATGGAGTATTGTGACCCTACAGGAGACCTTGAGCGTGCTAGGCACATACTTGAGACAAGGTGTTTCCCTGTATCTCAAGCTGGCCTTATGAGGTCTTCCTGTTTCAACTGCCTGAGTTCTACAATTAGAGAAATAAGCCATGTGTCCAACAGATCACTTGACTATTTTTTTTTAGTTTGTTTTTATTGTTTTGTGTCTAAAGTCTCCACGTGAGCATGTGCACCATGTACATGCCTCGTGCCTGTGGAGGCCAGCAGAGGGCGTCAGATCTCTTAGGACTGGAGTTACAAATAGTTGAAAGCCACCACAGGGGTGGTGTGATTCAACCTGGGTCTTCTCCACCTTATATATCGTGGCAGGCTCTCTCTCATTTGAACCCAGAGCTAACCAATCTGGCTAGTCTAGCTGGTCAGCTTGCTCTGGGGCTCAGGGTGTGCAGTCCCCTGTCTCTCACACTGAGATTACAGACAGGCTACTACACCTACCTGGCTTTTCCTTGGGTGCTAGGGATCTGAACTCTGGTCCTCACATTTGCATAAGTGCCATCTCCCCAGCACCCAGGGCATTAGACATTTGATGAAGTTGTAGAATAAATTCAATGGATAAATGAGTTGTTTCAACACATAGTACTAGAACAGCTGGCCATCCACATGCAAAATGAATGAGCCTTGACCTGACTTTAAACATTTTGCAAAAATCAATGGTGACTGCATAACAAATGTAAATGTAAAACATGGAACTCTCATAAGAAATCTTTGACCAAGTGCTGTGTGGAGAGTTCCTTGGCAGACAACCAGAGGACAGAAGGCGACAGGGAAAAGTGATGTCTGCCATCCCAGTACCAGAAAGTAGAGGCAGGAAGATTGCCATGAATTGGAAGCCAGTGTGGGATGCATAACAAGTTCCAGGCTTGTCAGGGCTATGGAAGTACAGAGCAGGAGAAATTATTTATAGAACATATTTTTTTCAAGCAACTTGTACCCAAAATTTAAGACTCAAAAGTGGCACACCCCTTTAATCCTAGTACTCAGGAGGCAGAGGCAGATGGATCTCTGAGATGGAGGCCAGCCTGATCTACAGTGAGTTTCAGGACAGCCAGAGCTACATAGTGAGATCCTGTCATGGAAACGCCAAACCAAACTAAAAGGTTCAATGCAACATTTTTGTAAAACTATTTAGCATCTATTTTATTCTCTTTTTAATGTTTAATTACTTTGGTTATACCTAAGAGTGGAATTGCTGGCTGTACAGTGATTCTATGTTTAACTTTTTAAGGATTTCTGTTGGGATGTTGATGGATTGCCCTGTGTGTAGGTTACTCTGGACAGCGTTGACATCTTAACAACACTAAATCTTCCCTTCCTAACCTGAACTCGGGGTAGCTTTCCATTTATTCATGTTTTCTTTAATTTCTTTTGTCTTTTTCTTTTCCTTTTTTGGGGGGTGGGGTGGTTTTTAGGTTTGGGAGACAGGGTTTCTTTTGTAGCCCTGGTTTGTCCTGAAACTCATTCTGTAGAGCAGGCTGGCTTTGAACTCAGAGAGATCTGCCTGCCACTGCCTCCCAAGTGCTGGGTTTAAAGACATCAGCTACTATACTTGGATAATTTTGTAGTTTTCATTTACATGAATCATCCTTTTTCTTGGATTTATAGATAATTGTGTGTACTTGCCATCTCAAGATTATGATAACAATTATTACCTATGGCTGACACAATAAAGAGAGTCTTTAGTTCCTAAGGTATTGGTTGACTTTAGGAATAAATCTCTTGGGGATTTGATTTTTAAGTCATGTCAGCAATTATATACTCAAAGCTAGAACGGTACTTTAGGATCTGGGTCCTGTGTAAGCAAAAGAAAAATGGCATTTTTGGCTTTCATAGAAAGTATGATACCGGGGCTGGAGGGATGGCTCAGTGGTTAAGAGCACTGACTGACTGCTCTTCCAGAGGTCCTGAGTTCAATTCCCAGCAACCACACGGTGGCTCATAACCATCTATAGTGAGATCTGGTGCCCTCTTCTGATGTGTCTGAAGACAGCTACAGTTTACTCATATACATACATAAATAAATAAATAAATAAATCTTTTTTTTTTTTTTAAAAAGAAAGTATGATACCTATGGAACATTTTCTGTGTTATATGCACAAAAAGTAGGGTGTAGTATTGCAATAACCCTGTCCCTCCCAATGCTGTGTGTATCTAGAGGTTGGTTCGGGAGCCCCAGAACCTGGAAAACTGGCTGGATTATGGTGCTTTCTGCCTCCTCACTGAAGACAACATCAAAGCGCAGGAGTGCTTCCGGAAAGCCCTTTCTCTGAATGAAAGTCATATTCACAGGTATAGGAAGAGGAGAGATGGGTGAGATGCAGCAGATAAACTGCAACTCAAACTTGTCTTTGATCCACTGAAGCAACACGGGACCAGAGTGCTAACTATGTGAGTGGGTCTCTTCTCAGCTTGCTGCTGTGTGGTGTCCTGGCTGTCCTGTTGGAGAACTATGAGCAAGCAGAAATTTTCTTTGAGGATGCTACATGCTTGGAACCTACTAATGTTATTGCCTGGACTTTACTCGGTATGCTGTTTCCCTGTGACGCGTATGTGGGTGTGGCTGTGGGTGTGGCTGTTTCCCTGTGACGTGGATGTGGGATGGGGAAACCCCATTGCTAGATTCCCCTTTTCCCTATTTACTCTAGTGACTGAGGATGTGGTTTTTAAACTCGAGTAAAACAAACGTGGCAGAGAGAAATTAAATGTACCCATTCTTCATCTATGATGGTGGGAGTCAGCCCTTTATTTCGGCTTCTTTATTTCTTCAGGATTGTTCTATGAGATTCAGAATAATGATATTCGAATGGAAATGGCATTTCATGAGGCCTTCAAACAGCTTCAGGCACGAACCCTCCAAACAAAACTAAAGAGCTCCGCGACCATAGAGAACAGTGAAGAAGGAGTGAAAGTAGAGCCCAGTTTTGGCCCTTGGGGAGTCATACAGGAATCCTCCACAGCCATCAAATCGGACGGCCTCTCAGGTGGGAGTGGCCCGTGGAGATGGGGAAGTGGACACTGGAAACTTACTTGGCCTAAGGGATAGGACCTGGTACTAAGTAGGCACCACGTCAGTATTTGTCCAACAAATACTGACACTTTTAGCTATTTCAGCAATATCAGGAGAAATACCTCATATATTAATAACTCATCACCTGAGACCTGGTCTGAAGTGTCTGTTGATACTGATTTTCATATCATATAGAATTTACTCCCTCCATAAATATTCCTTAAAAACAAGTACTGTTCTGAATACATTAAAAAGTGTCTCTTCTCTCCTTTTCTCCCCACCATGTAATTTTTAGGTGCATGTATTCATCCACCCTGTTTTCCCTCCCCCGATCTCTGTTCCTGCATATTAAAGATTTTAGGGGGATTTTTTTTTATTTTATAAGTATGTATAAGAGTGTGTGGCTCATGAGTTTGTGCATCACATGCAGCAGGCCTCCACAGAGTTCAGATGCCCCGGGACTGAGTTACAGACCACTGGCTGCTGACAGATGTGGGTGCCGGGAATTAAACTTGGGTCCTCTGCAAGAGTAGGAAGTGGTCACAGTCATTGAGCCTTCTCTCCAGCTGCTTTCCATGTATTTTAGGAAATCAGTCACTCTGATATGTTTTTTAATATGTGTCTTTGCTTGTGTATTTCTTGCACATGCATGCATTGTTATTCTGTAGACATACAAATGTTAAGGTTGCCTGAGAAATTTTCAGTTGAAATTTCATCAGCTGCACACATGTGAGGTCACGTTAGTGAGTGTCGATAGAACACAATGGAGACAATGACATGCTCAGGCCCCTCGTGACGCCTTCCATCTGCCCCTAGGTAACCACTGATCTGCACTCACTATGGAGGAATTTGCATTTTAAAAATTTGAAGTTGCATCTATTGCTTGCTTCACTTGGGTCGGAAGGCATATGTGCATTGGCACTCATGGTGGTCAGAGGACAGCCTTGGGGAGTCAGAGCTCTGTCCTAGCACCATGCGGGCTCCCAGGATAGAACTCAGGCCTTCAGGCTTGTGCTAGGCACTTTTACCTGCTGAGCCATATGAGCAGCCCAAATTTGTGGGTTTTTAAGTTTTAGAATTCTAGAAATAGTCTAGACTACGTTTAGAGTTAAATGGAATGTGCTTTTTTTTTGGTCTGATCTTTTTTTTTTTTAATTGAGATTTATCCATGGTGTGCTGATTGTACCAGCTACCTATCTATGCTGCCACACTGCACCTTAGTGTAGAGAGAGCACCCCACGCTCATCTCTGTTCACTTGTTGCTTCATGTTTGGTTGTTTTCATGTTGAGACCATTGAGTTTAAGCTACTGATGGCATTAGGTCCAGATTTTTGCATGGATAGACTCATTTTTCTCCTGTAAACACCTAGGAATTCACCAGCTGAGACTATGGACTATTTAGTGATATGGTTTTTATTTTCTAAATATTTTGAGGTTTCTCCATATATCCTTGCCTTTTATTTATAACATAATCTCATTGTGGCTAGAAATTAAATTTTCTCTAAGTGGAACCCTTCAAAAATATTGAAACTTTCTAAGGGCCAGCAGATAGTCTGTCCTGATAAATATCCTTGACAAATGCAGTGCTCTGCAGGTGTCAGTGGGGTGCTGTAGCCAGAGTACTTTAGTTCTGTATCCATTGTAGTTCTTTATCTTTGAAGTTTAGGAATATTTTTAAAGATAGGTGGGTTAATTAGGGTTTCCATTGCTGTAAAGATACACTACAACCACAGCAACGCTTATAAAGAAAAACATTTAATAGGGACTGGTACAGTTTAGAGGTTTAGTCCATTATTGTCATGACAGGAAGCATGGCAGTGTGCAGGCAGGCATGACACTGGAGAAGGAGCTGAGTGTTCTACATCTGGATCAACAGGCAGCAGGAAGAGACTGTGTGCCACACTGAGCCTGGCTTGAGCATCTGAGACCTCAGCACCCACCCTAGTGATGCACTTTCTTCAACAAGGCCACACCCCCTAAGAGTGCCACTTCTTACAGGCTTATGGGGGCCATTTTTATTCAAACCACCACAACAGGGTTTCACTTAGTAACACAGGCTAGTCTTGGACTTGCCATGTATCTCAAGCTAGCTTTGAATTTGCTATCATTCAGCTTTGGTCTCCCAAGTGCTGGGATTATAGGCATGCCTGGCTGTAGTTTAGTTTTATAACCTTTTTCTTCTTTGTGTAATATTTTCTTCAATTAACTTTATAATTGTCTCACATTTGGATCTTTAGAGAATTGATTTTAAAATATTCTGCTATGAGGGCACTGCCCTTTATTTTTTGTCTGGATAGGGATATAGTTTTCTCAGCAGTCTCTCCCAACCCCATTATTTCCTCTGTGAGGTGAGGAATACATTCCTAAACCCTGACATTGTCTTTCTGTCGTACCTGTCAGGGGTAAACACATAGACAAGGAAGCATTGCGTCCATGTCTTCTATGGTTATGTTTTTGGGCAATGCCTTAATATCTGGCCTATCTGTTTCTCTCATGTAACTGTTTGGCTTAACTATGTATGGACCTTTATTTCTCTGTATGAATTTTATAGTGAATTTATTTAGTGAATCTTTAAAATGTAGTTATCATTTTTATTTGGACTGTATTAAAATTACAGATTATTGAGGGATAATTAACATTTTCATGTTGGTGCATTCTGTCCTATGTGTCAATGACACCCTCCACCGAGCAACTTTTCTTCTTACTCTTTTAGTAAGATTTTAACATTTTATCCAATGAGGCCCTGTTTAGTAAACAACATTTCTAGTCATTTCTAGGTTTCAGATAATTTTTATTGGATTTGGAAGCCTTTCCGCCTCTTTTTTTTTTTCACTCTAATGAATTAATTACTTTTGTTGTTTCTTAACATTTTGACTATGAGCTGGACACCACGTCCCAGGGCAGCCAGAGCTACACAAAGAAACCCAGTTTTGAAAAACCAACAACCAATGAACCAACCAACCAACCAAACAACCAACCAACCAAACAAACATATATATGACTGATAGCACCCACAATAGACATAGTTTTATCTTCTTCCCTCCCAATTCTCATCTCACAATATTGTTCTTAAATGTTTTGTCTTATTTTAAATTCTGTGTGTACCTGTGTCTGGGTCAGGGGTTTGTCCACATGACTTCAGGGGCTTGTGGAGGGATCCGATGCCCCTGACGTTCTAGGCAACCGGGAGTCATCTGATGTGGGTACTGGGAACCAAGCACGGGTCCACTTGAAGCTTGTGGTCTAAGCCCCTGTGCCACTTCTCCACCCCCCACATTATCTTTCTATTCCCCCCAATATTGTCACAATTTCCCCCTTTCTCTTTAAATTGTCATCTTTTGTTATGGTGCAATTTCTGGTGTAGTCCCTCAGCTTTCATCTCATATGTGTCTGAAGTTACTGGGCTTTGTTTTGTTTTGTTTTTCTTCTAAGAAACTGCCAAGAGGTTTTCCTTTGTTGTTATTTAGGGATAAGACCCCGGAGCTCACACCTGCTGAGTCCTCGACCCACCATGGATCTGCATTCTCAACCCCAAGGTTCTTTTTGTTGTTTTACTTTTTATTGTTTGCATTGTGGTCCTTTTCTTTCTTTGATGTGATCTCTTTTTCCCTCTCTTCAAAGTGGGGAGTACCTTATGGGGGCATATTTCCCTCTCTCTCCTTTACCTCCCAGTTCCTGTCTTCTCACATTTTATACTTTCAGTTCCATTGTCTGCTTGTCACGTCACTATACCTGCGAGGGAGGGTGCTGGGCTCAAAGGGATGGAAGGTGTTTTGTACTTGTTATTCACGATGCCCACTCTCTAGCCTGTTCCTTCAGTGTTTAGGGGATGTCTATCTTACCATTTGTGCGTCTTCTCTCCTATAACCTTTCAATGCCAGAAAGAAGAAGCTCCTTTTTATTAAAATCTAATCTGTTTAGGACCAAACACTGCTTTGTCCAGTCTAGACGAGTTTTTGGAAGAATCGCCTAAGGCACAGTCTGAATCACAAGAGCCAATAATCACTGTACAGACTCAGGAGTCTTCCCTTGCCCAGAAATCATCCAATGTGCTATTAAAGGAGCTGACATCAAAAAAAGGTGAGTAGAATCCTATATTTCCCCTGGAAAGAGGGATGTAAACCAACCAGGAGAGCATGAAGACTCTTAGGATTATGAGTGTGGAGATCCTGAAGTGTTTGAAGTTGCACTGACCACACTTCCTATTAGTCAAGGATCTGAATTCTTATTTATTTATTTATTTATTTAATTTATTTATTTATTATATTCATATGAGTACACTGTCACTATCTTCAGACACCAGAAGAGGGCATCAGATTCCATTACAGATGGTTTGAGCCACCATGTGGTTGCTGGGAATTGAACTCAGGACCTTGGGAAGAGCAGTCAGTGCTCTTAACCATTGAGCCATCTCTCCAGCCCCTAGGATCTGAATTCTAAACCCCGTGTTGGGGCTCCTCTGATAAGTATGAATTTTAATTTTGTTCACACAAGTAGCTAACAGAACTATAATTTTCCAATGAGTCTTCATTTTCAGAATATCTATATGTTGTGTTTCAAAGCCAAGGAGGTCTAAATACTTCTTTAAATTAATTAATTAAGTGTGTGGGTGGGGCGGGGTGATGGAGGTCAGAACTCAGGCCTTGACTGATTCATCTCCAGGCCCCTTTGAATAGTTTCCAAAGCCCTTTCATTTGGTCATGATTTGCCTTAGAACCCCCAGCGCCACTGGCTCGATGGCCTTTGAGACCACTTTCTGCATCATAACTAGAAATGGTCTACTGCTTTCCAGGTTCTGGTTTTTATCTCATCTGAGGTCAGAATCTTCTCCCTACCTTATCAATATAACTGGGCTTCTGGCATTTCTTATTTGCATCTGGTCTTCTATCCTGTTGATCTATTTCCAGAAACATCAAAGTGTCAAGATTCATCAGCCTTTTTCCCTCCTACCCATCAAGCCATTCCCCAGCCTCCGGTCACCATCTTCATGGAAACCATTCGCTTCTTGATGAAAGTCAATGCCGTACAGGTGAGACTGTTTGGGAACTGGGACATAGATGGAGGATTTCAGGGATCTGTGTACTCTATCCACAGCAGTGCCGTGTGAACCTGAATCTGTGTGCAGCAGAAACCAAGCATGCGTTTCTGGTGCTGAGGCTGAGCTTGGGACCTCCTCCATGTTAACCAAATGTTCCGCCACTGAACCCATCACTAACCCCTAATGTTCTCTTCAGGGTGTTTCTTACCAAATGTCAGGACTGTCCAAACACCGACTTCCCTCTGCAGGCACTATCAGCAGCCCTCACTGAGAAGTTTGCTCCCTGCAGAAGGCCAGCAAAACAAAGTCAGACTCTCAGTGTGACTGCAGCCTGACTTCTCTCTTGTTTACTTATTTATGAGGAGGCACATGCATGTGAGGTCAAAGGACAACTTGCATAAGTCTGTCTTCTCCTCCCACTGTGTGGATTCTGGGGATCAAACTCAGGTCATTTGGCTTCGCAGCAAGTGCCTTTACCTACTGCGCCATTTTATCAGCCCCTGAGCCTTTTCTTTTAGGACTTTATGAGTGTGGGATTCATAAGCATGTGATTATACCCCTTCTCCCTACAATATCCTGACCAACTGAAAACAGATACATGGTGCCATGTGAGAAAGGGTTAAACTATTAAATGATTTTAATAGTAAAATAGTCTATAGGTTATAGGTATGGCAAGATGGCTTGGTGGGTAAAGGGGCTTGCCACCAAGTCTGATGACTTGAGTTTGATTCCTGGAACCCATATGGTGGAAGAAGAGAACTAACTCTTTTTTTTTTTTTTTTTTTTTGGTTTTTCGAGACAGGGTTTCTCTGTGTAGTTCTGGCTGTCCTGGAACTCACTCTGTAGACCAGGCTGGCCTCGAACTCAGAAATCCGCCTGCCTCTGCCTCCCGAGTGCTGGGATTAAAGGCGTGCGCCACCACCGCCCGGCTGAGAACTAACTCTTGTGTAAGTTATTCTCTTACCTCCATATGCACAATGTGGTATCCCTGTGGCCCAACCCCTGCCATCCCTACAAACATACATACACATACAAACACAAATAAACATAAAATGTTTTGAACTGGACAAGAGAATATAACTGTTTCCAAATATACTGACACACATTATTACAGGTGGAGCATCTGGATATCAGTCTTTTTCCCAGAAAAGAAGTCCATGCAATAATCACGTGCCCACATGGGGTACCATGAGCAAGTGGTGGGAGGAAGGGGGAGCTGGTGGAGTTGACTCTGACCCAGCAAACAATGTACCTCACTTTAGGGCATGCAATCTCAAGAATTATGAACTGGGTGGGATTGGGCCACATTAGACATGAACCCTTCCCAGCAGGAACATGCTTTTTCCTCAGTGAATAAATGCAGCTCCCTGGGTCAGTGGCAGAAGTCGAGTAGAGAGAATAAATCCATCTTGCCAGGGTAGTTTCCTGGGAAGGTGCGCATAAAGCTTCCGTATTGTAGGCTAAGACTAGAATGGACTGCAAAGCTGGGGAGGGCCACAGGCGCGTGTGACTGTACCAGATTTGCAGCTCCTTTGAGGGGGCAGGGATAAAGAGCCCCACGTGCATTGGTAACCATAAATGTTTAGTGCTATGGCAAAAGCAGTGATTTATGTTTGTGAAATCCCAAGTCTTAGCAAGTAAGTTAGAGAGGTGGGTTTTGTTTCATTAGGAGTTTCCTTAAGATGTCAATTGTCTGGAAATGTTACTTCACGTGTAAGCAGGGAGGTTGATGAAGTGCCGTTGCCTGCACCTCCTCCTAAGTGCGCTCTGAATCTCAGTCTCATGACCACAAGGCCTGCATCGAGCAGGGCTTCGTTGGAAACGTTGGTGTTTGCTGACTGATTGCCTGTGGCTTCCCTTGTCCCTGCACCCCTGAAAATGATCATTCTACCCTATAAGATGTCCCTCACTATTTCCCGTCAGAGCCACACTCCCTCCATCCTAAAAGCTATTCAACTAATGCAGTGAAGTCATTCTTATGTTCTTTACCTCTGGGTTTCCTTGCAGTTTGTGCACAGAGTGCTGGCCCATGAGCTGCTGTGCCCCCAAGGAGGACCCAGTTGTGAGTATTACCTGGTTCTGGCCCAGACACACCTTCTCAAGAAGGACTTTGCCAAGACAGAGGAGTACCTGCAACAAGCAGCACAGATGGATTACCTGGTACCGATTTTCCCAGAGAGAGCCTTTGAATGGGAGAAAGAAGGGGTGAACCCTTTATGCTGGAGCAGAGATGAAAGCAGGATGCAATAGCGTGCGTCTCAGCTGCTTGGGAGAGTGAGCCGTGGAGCTGGAAGTTAGCATGGGGAGCATGATGACGCTCTGTCTGAAAATAGAGTAGTGGTGCCACACCATGAGGAGACTTCTGTCACGTGTGGGTGATACTTATGTGTGAATTTGGTTTCTGTAAGCAATCATGAGTTCTACAGACGGTGAAGAACAGGCCGTTTAGCAGGAGTTGCCCGTTATTTCAAGTCTCTAGACTTGTCTTTGCTCCTAATAGCATCATGCTGATTACAGTCGAGTATTTGACTTACCATGCACCCAAAGACAAAATGGCTTTTGAGGAGTGCAAGAATGAGACCACACCCAGGACCTTACCCACCCACGTGACTAAAACGGTTCTCTCTGTATGCGTGCTCTTAGGGAAAAAGAGGGACAAAAATGTACTCATCTAGATTTAAATGTTTAACAAAATTCATTAGGGACTTAAATACCACATCACCCTGTGTGTTCTTTGTCTGCTTCCTCAGAACCCCAATGTCTGGGGTGTGAAGGGCCATCTCTACTTCCTGAGTGGAAACCATGCTGAGGCCAAGGAATGCTATGAGCGGACTATTAGTTTTGTAGTTGATGCTTCTGAGATGCACTTCATCTTCCTACGCCTGGGGCACATCTACCTGGAAGAGAAAGAGGTAAGGGAGAGAGAAGGTATTGATCCAGGCTCCATTGATCCATGGTCCAGGCTGTAGCTGTGGCTAAGGAGGAAAGTAGCTCAACGCTGCCACCTACAGTAACCTGAGGAGCTCCCGGCCTCAATTCTCCACACCGTCATTCCCACTTATCAGAGACCTTCACTTTGTAAAACCACGTCCATGACTGCACTGCAGAAAAGAATTCAGGACAAGTCAGGATGAAGCAGAGTTAGAGAGTTTGTTAAATAGAAATACAGAATAGCATACCCTTCATTAGTTAAATGTGAGTTGGGGAGGAGAGAGAAAAACTGACTTAAGAGTAGCGCACATCCCAAATGGGGATGGTCTTCTTCAGAGAGCATTCTGGATGTCCTTACAATATCCACATGTATGAGTCTGGGCTGTCATTTTTAAAAAAGCTTTAATGATTAAGCAAGTTTTTGAAAATCAGGAGTTCAAACTGTAAGTGAGCACTCTGAGCTGTGGGGCTGGAGCGGTGGGTCAGCGGTTAAGTGGTTAACACATGCTCTGCACGCATCCATTCGGAACCTCTTGCAGAGGAACCCGGTTTGGATCCCAGCACTTACATAAAAGCTCCCAAACACCTACCAAGGGATCTGATTTCCATCGGCTCCCGAATGCGCGTGGCACACAGACACACTCAGACACACACAGATATGCGCATAGGATTAAATGTTTTTAAAACATGACCTGGCTCATTAAACTTGAGGAATTTCCTTTTTTTTTTTTTTTTTTGGCTTTGGTTTTTGTTTTTTTGAGACAGGGTTTCTCTGTATAGTCCTGGCTGTCCTGGAACTCACTCTGTAGACCAGGCTGGCCTCGAACTCAGAAATCCACCTGTCTCTGCCTCCCAAGTGCTGTGATTAAAGGCATGTGCCACCACCGCCTGGCCAAAGAGTTTCCTTTTCGTGGCTTGAGAGAAGGCTCAGCGGCTGAGGGTGGATACTACTCTTTCAGAGGACCCAGGTTCAGATCCCAGCACCTACATCAGGCAGCTCACAACCACCTGTAACTCCAACTTCGGGGGATCTGAGTTCATCTTGAGGTGCCCCCGGATATCAGCACATATATGGCATATACTCATATATGTAAATAAACAGTTTTAGAAGAAATCTTTAGCCAAGCAGAGGTGGCATACACACTTTTAATCCCACCACTTGAGACACAGAGGCAGGAGGATCTCTGTGAGTTCAAAGCCAACCTGGTCTACAGAGCAAGTTCCAGAATAGCCAGGACTATAGAGAGAAACCAGGTCTTGACAAATGAAACAAACAAACAAACAAACAAACAACAACAACAACAACAACAAACAGTAGCAGCAGCCAAAGAGTGCATTTCCTGAACCCACACCAGGCAGCTCCAAACCGCCTGGAACTCCCCAGCCTGCACAGGCTTCGCTCTCACACAAGCAAACACACAGACATGTGATTAAAAATAAGACAAATCTTTTTTTTTTTTTTAAAGATTTCCTTTTGTAAATGAAATTGACAAGGCTTCATGAGGAGAGCATCTTTTGGGTTTGGGGTGAGAGAGGAGTGGCCATGCAGTGAAACTGAAGCCCCTCCTGGTTCTAAGGAAACACCACCTCCTGTTTTTTTAGCACCCTTGCTTGTCTCTAAGGCGATAAGCACTATCTCTGTGGGTGGCTCCAATTTTAGCAGCTGAGTTGAAGTTTCTGACTTCCAGACAGATTCCGGGACAGGGACGTTTCTTTCCTTCCTCATGTTTCCTTGACCTTTCCTACTTCATTGCTATCCTAAAAAGGGCCACATGATCATGCCACCTTTATATCAATGGCAAAGCCATTTGCTTAGCATCAGGGACCCAGTAACTAGTGTAGAAATAAGAGTCTGTTATTGACCACTGTGCTACTAAAGTTATTATGAACATAATGAATGTTATTTTGACTAAATATTTTATTAATACTAATAGCAACTTTGAAGTGATAACTTGACTAACAAAACATGTCCTGGGGCTCAAAATGACTTCTCCAACATCCTTCTCGATACAGAGTATTAGGTCTAATCTATCTTAGGATAGTCCCATCCTATGGGGCACTCTAATGTGACTCTAGTGGTTCCCCTGCTACCTTTTAGAAATTACCCTAAGGGCCTTTGCTCCAGGTGCTAAGTAGGGGTAGGCTTGCTATTCTAGAAAACTTCAAATGCATGAAAGTAAACAATAGGAGAGCAAACCACTGGGACCCACCTAAGAGTTGCCACTGTTCTGCCACAGGTGTTTTGACTCCCTGATTATGTCTCCTTTCCCTTCTTCATCCATAATTGGCAGTTTTTTATTTAGTGCACTAACCAATAAGAACATGGAGTCACAAAGTATGATGATGTACATGGGAAGGCTAATCCAGGTCTGAGAGAAATCACAGCCCTACTGCAGTGAAGTAAATAAGGATTTTCTTTCTAATGTCAGGACAAGCTGCCATCTTCAAGGCACTACTGACCTTGTGGTTACTAAGCAACCAGTTTCTGGGCTGAATGCTCAGGGTTAGCTGTAGCTAAAAGAGGAGAAATAAGCCACCGAGTCCTACTACTTTTGGAAGTTTCATTTTGGAAAGAGACAGGGTCTTGCTGAATGTGGCAGTGTGTGCGGATGATCCCAGCACTCGGGAAGCTTAGGTCATCAGATGGCTTGAGCTCAGAACTTTTAAGGCAACCTGGGGAGAATACTAAGATCTTATCTCAAACAAGACAGTCTAGAGACACACTGCCATTGATTGAAGGGATGTCTGTCATGAAAGCGGCCCTGGGTTTAATCCCCAGCACCACATAAAATTGGGCATGGCAGCACATCCTGTAATTCCAGCTTTCAGGAGGTAGAGCTTGGAGAATCAGCTGTTTAAGGTCATCTTGGGCAAGAGAGCAAGCTTGAGATCAGTCTGGGCTGTATGATACCCTGTCTTATCCTCACCCACACTAAAAGGAAAGAAATGGTAACTTAAAAGACTGTCCTTGGACTTCTGAACTCAAATAATCCTCTTGCCTCACGTCTTAGAAGCTGAGCAGCTAAAAATGTAGGCATTGCATCTGGATGAAAGTTTGGTTTTTGAATTTCTCTAAATATCTCCTGTGGCACTGTTAAGACTTTTCTGCTAGGGGAACAGGTTCTCAGAGGGACCAGAGACTCGGTGTCTGCCATCCTCACCACATGGTGCCACTTTTAAGTGAAAAGATGTAGTCCATACAGTCTAGACAGAATTCAAATAACCACTGTGCTTGCCCAAAACGTCCTGTGTGAGTCCTTCCTGAATCCTTGGATCTGTTCCCAGGTGAAACTCGACCTTCCCCTACCTCTCCCTGTCTGCTTGCAACAGCTCCTTTAAAGTATTCATGAAAATATTATCCAAGGACTCACTCAGTTTCAGATTATTCTGGAGCAAAACTGTCAAGAAGCTCATGGTTACCTTAGCAACGTGTGTTCGAAGCTTATTGGTGTTTTCTTTTGCCAGTATGAAAACGCAAAGAGAACCTACATGCAAGCCTGTAAGAGATCGCCTTCGTGCCTCACTTGGCTAGGACTAGGAATTGCCTGTTACCGGGTAAGAGAGCAGAGGCAGATGCCTGGCCCTGGCCCGATCGTCCTCCAAGTGGATTGTGGGGTTTTGTGGTGATGGTGGGATGGCAGTCGGCTCTAATGAAAAAAAAAAAAACCAAACTTTTTTTCAAAGTTGTTCATAAACAGAAGCCTGGACTAGGAGAATAAAAATATCCTGGGGGGGGGGACCTTACAAAAACCTAGCCTGAGAAATTTGAGACATAGAAAGACAGAAGTGAGCTCTCTGGGCCACGAAAACAGCCGTAGTATCAATGTTTTTCTTTTAGTTTTTTTTTAAATTATTCTTATCAAGGGCAGTTTGAAAATGTCCTTAGTTGTAAAGAGAAGAAAATGCTTCCCCCATCACCGTCACCCTGATTTGGCAGTCATTAACCTCAGTTTCTCATTGTCTTCATCTTTGCCTTTCCCTCTGGAGCCTTCAAGGCAAATGTTAGACATGAGACATCTCATCTGCAAATCCCTTAACATGCTCAGACTTGAATCCAGTTCCTGTCTTGTCTAGTACCAAAGATGGAGTTCTCACATACCCAGGGTGGTCTCAAACTCACTAGATAGCCAAAGATAATATTGAACTCCTGATCTTTTTCCGTTACCTAACAAAACTGGGATTACAGACACAGGATTTTCTACCTAAACCATGACGTTATGATAATCTGTCATGTTCACAGAGTCCCTGCCTGAGGCTGGGGACACCACCTTCAGAACTGGAAACATGCCTTTGAGCCTATCATTCAGGAGGTAGAGGCAGGTGGTTCTCTGTGAAGCCAAGGCCAGCCTAGTCTATACAGCTAGTTCCAGGCCAGGCAGGGCTGCAGTGACACTCTGTCTCAAGCAAAAAAAAGAAAAAGAAAAAGAAAAAAAAGTTAAATGTGCATGTACTCCATCAGACCCCATACCTTTATAACTCTTGACCTTGTGCCTCTAATAAACTCTAATCCCTCATGGTCCATTTTAGTGATGTTTCTTCTCTGAGGCTATTATTCTTCAGTTTTAGGGTAGATCTGATATTATTTCTGTCTCATCTCTAGATCATAAGTGTACTTTTACTATAGAAATATTTATTTTGTAGAAATGTTTATGTATTTGATGTTTCATTATATTGTTTACATATCTACCAGTGCAGTGAGGTCTCTGAGGGTAGGGGTTGTATATGTATATACATACTTTTGTTCTCAGCATCAAGTATATTGATGAACAGAGAACACATCTTCAGCAAATGTATGTTGACTGAATACAGTGTCAGCAAGACCTAAAGTGCAAAGCAAAACATGGACATGGTTGGAAGGCTGTGCTTCATCTTTTCATGGCCTTAGAAACTCACTGTTCTTTTAAAACAGAAATCAAAATCTAGGCCTCATGTCTCATAAATATAATCCCAATGTCTGATCAACTGAGGAAGGAAGATAGTTTCAAGTTCAAGGCCAGCCTGAAATACAGGGTTTCAAGCCAATCCTGTGAGTTTCACTAACAGGAAGACCCAGTCTCTAAATAATTAAAAAAGAAATCAAACAAAAAAATTAGAGGAGAGATATATACCTATCATATATCCATCCACAAATAATATCTATTAATAGTTATATAATTATATATAACATATATAATATATGCTTCATATGAATTAAGAAACACTGGTGAATTTTGAGGTTTTGTTTTGAAAAGCACTGGTATAGGTCATGGACATTTATTGGCTGGATAGCAGATTCATCTGAGCTGACTATTGTTGTGTTTTGTATAAAAGAAAAGAGGCCAGGATATGTTTTGTAGGGGCACAGTATGGTGAGGTGGGAGGGGTGCCTCTGAGGGCCCATGTTGAGGCATCCCTTTCCTCTGAGGGAGCAGCCACACATCAGTACAGTATAGAATAGTTTATTTAGGGCATGGGGAGGGGAGTTTAGAAGGGAGTAGAGACAGAGAAAGAGAGGGGTGGAGGAGGAGAGAGACAAGAGAGGGAAGGAGGGAAGGCTGGGGCCAGGAACACATGGAGAGAGAGGGGGAAGGGGTGGGAAGAAAGGAAGGAAGGGTCTGAGAGAGAAGGGACAGAGAGAGTAAGAGATTGAGAGAGAGGAGGGGGCCAAAAGGAGGAGCCCCTTTAATAGTAACCCAGGCATACCTGGCTATTGCCAAATGACTGTGGGGCAGAACCTAGAAGGAATGCTAACAACTCCACTGGCTTAAGTGAAAACCACTTTGGACTGTATCTCCTAACTCTCCCTCTCTGCCAAGCTGGAGGAGCTCACTGAAGCTGAGGATGCTCTGTCTGAAGCCAACGCACTGAATAACTGCAACGCTGAAGTGTGGGCCTACCTGGCTCTGGTCTGCCTGAAAGTGAGTGTTTCTTACTGTCCCTTCACAAAGCCCTCTCAGGGATCAGGTGAAGGCCCAACTAAGAAAGGTAAGCTGGCTGTTAACACATAACTGAAGTTTAATGAGCTCCTGAGTTGTCATTGTACTGATGACAAAAGAAATATCCGTCCAGGGCAGTTCCTCCTCAAGATGAATGTGCTTAGTAATCACCTATTCACATTTTTTTCTATGAACGATGTGCTGTGCTTCTTTCAGGTTGGACGACAACTAGAAGCTGAGCAGGCTTATAAGTACACAATAAAGGTATGAGACATAATTGCCATTCTGAGAGTGTACAGACTGTAAGATCGCTCAGTGCTTGATGAATTTTCACCCACGGAACCAATACATTCTAATTCTTTATGAGAGCTCCTACAGTGTTGAGAATATAGGAAAGGAAAAACAGAGAGAATATGGGAAAGGCCCATCCCACTCCTGCAAATCTGGAGCCTCATGAATTAGGGCTTTTCAAAGCCACATGGTGTGTTGGACATGACTTCTTCCCTGCCTTGTTTCTGCAGCTGAAACTGAAAGACCAGGCTCTTCTTGAAGAAATCCACAGTGTACAGGAAATGGTTGGCTTTGGAAATCCATCTTTCTGACAGCCTTACACGTGATTATTTAATATGGAACCCCAAGCATCTTTCCTTCCCAAATTGTCACCAGATGAAACCTTCCCATTCCCTGTGTCCCTTTAGTTGTTGGCTATTAATTAGATCACATTAAAAAAAAAAAACTCAAAATTTATCGAGTTTCTGGAGTCATACTTGTAGCACATAATTTATATGCTCGTATGTAATCATGTAACGAATTAATAGACATTATTTGTGGGTAGATATATGGCATAATGGTGTGACTATTAAAATTTCTGATGAAAGTGTATCTGATTAGCCTGGAGGTGCACAACTGCCAAGGCTCCTGACCAGCTTTAGTTACTGGGGCTTGGGAATTAAGGCAACTTCTTCAAAGGTGGCCCTAGAATACAGCTGGCTGTGTGTGTTCTGGGTAAGAGAACAGAGGCGTGGGAACTGTCGTAGGATGGACGTGCCTGCAGGGCACTTAGCACCTCTGGACAAGACCAGCAGACTCCTCACCGCCGCAGTACCTAAAGACTGCCAGCAGCCCACGCCTACAGACACACCTCTGCTGCAGCAGCCAACGAACAGTCGCCGGCGCCTTGACGCACTCCCGTACGCATTGGAAGAGAAAGCGGAAGGGGCGGGACGGTTGGCCGGCTGCTTCCGCAGAGGGATTTCCGGCTCTAGAGTGTTGCGGTTGTCGCGGCGTGTGTTCGCTCGGCCACTTGGGGGCGCACGTCCAGGCATCAGGCTCCGTGGAGCCGGTCTGTGCAGGGGGACAGCGGGGAGCCGGAGCACCATGGTCCACCTCAGTGAGTGCGCGGGGCTTGCGGGCGGGTGCGGGCTGCGGCGACCCCGGCTAGGCGCGGCCACACTGCCTTCTAGTGGAGCTGCTTCTCCGTCCGTTTTGCTTTTAGCGATGGCCTCTCTGTGTAACTCTGGCTGGCCTGGAACTCGCAGTATAAAGACAGGCTGGCTTCGAACTCCTTCCTAGACAGCCGTTTGCCTCTGCCTCCCAAATGTGCTGTGATTAAAGGCGTGCGTCACCATGCCCAGCCTCTCTCCGTTTGTTTGTTTGTTTGTTTGTTTTTAAAACCACAAATCGTAGAAATCGTTTTGCAGATGAGGTATGACAAGGTCACAGCTTAGTAAATGGTGTTAGGATCCGAGAATTTGAGAAACAATACACTATGAAAACCAAGTTCGAACCAGCAAAAGTTTCTTTATTCAAAAAGATGGTATTTAAGGGAGATGGCTGGGTTCGGGATACAAACCGTGTCAGCGGGGACAAGACAGGGCAACCTTTTAAAACATAAAAACCACAAATTAGGTGAGCTAGGGGTAACCAATAGGGTACATGCCAGTTTTTTCCATACCTGGCATTTTAAGTGGGTTACTACTGGTCAAGAACTCAGATGGCTTTCTTAATAACGTGGCCTGGATTGAGGCCAGCCAATCAGAGTCTGTATAGCGGCTGGTGGGTTTCAGTCCCGACTGGGTGCTGACCGACAAGGCATGGACTGGAGCTGGGGACACTGTGGTCCAAGTTCATATGGGACACCTGGGGCCAGAAGCCATTTCTGGGAATTTGGCTGTTTCTTAGAATTTATCTTAGTACAAAATGGAGACTATATGCAAGATATATAGATAAAGTGGCCCCCAACATCGGCAGGTCTGTGTTACGTGGATTTGGAAAAAAGGAGGCATGTCCCGTCTGGAGTGGTTAAGAGGAGTTTCACAAACAAGATTGTATCTAAGCTGGATGGAGGATGGCATAGATTGGAAGTGAGAACATTGCAGTAGGAGGAATTGTGCCTTTACCTTTTATGATCTATTTTGAGTCTTCTGTTTTTGCGTTCTAACCGGCTGTTTCTCTACAGCAACCTTTTTCTGCAAAGCCTACCATGGGGGCCACCTAACCATACGCCTTGCTTTGGGTGGCTGCACCAACCGGCCTTTTTACCGCATTGTGGCTGCTCACAACAAGTGTCCCAGGGATGGCCGATTTGTGGAGCAGTTGGGCTCCTATGATCCACTACCCAACAGTCATGGAGAAAAACTAGTTGCCCTCAACCTGGACCGGATCCGGTATTGGATTGGCTGTGGGGCTCACCTTTCTAAGCCTATGGAGAAGCTCCTAGGTAAACCATCTCTGAGCTTAGATAATCTAAGAGATTTTATACTGTGGTCAACTCTGGGATAATGGAAAAGAAGAATGGTTTTTATTCCATCCCAGCTTTAATGGACGGGAGTGGGAGGTGAAGTGATGTAACTGCCCTTTTTGAATCTGGAGACCCCCTTTGTGGTCTCCTTTAGAAGACTCCAAGTGACTGGGCTTTTGTGCAAAAAATGGGACAAATGTGTCTTGGGTGCCTGTCAGTTCTCCATCCATCTATCCATCCGTCCTTCCATTCGTCCATCCGTCCATCTGTGAGGAGAAGGGTGTTAGGAAGTAGACAGTGAGCTTGCCAAGACAGAAGCTTATTTCCTGTCCTGTGAATCAGTGGATCAGCGCTGGGTCTCAGTTCTGGGAAGCAGATTCTTGGGAAGCACTGGCAATATTATAACGGAAATCTTGTTGCTTTTAGGTCTTTCTGGCTTTTTCCCCCTGCATCCGATGATGATCACCAATGCTGAGAGACTCCGGAGGAAGAGAGCACGAGAGGTCCTCTTAGCATCTCAGAAAGCAGAATCAGAGCCCAAAGAGACAGAAGCAAGCTGACTTCAGTGAACATGGCTGTGGCCACAAGGTCAAGGGCCTGTAAAACTTGTGCATAGGGTTTTGTGTTGGGTTTGAGGGTCAATAAATGGAGTTTTCTAAGTCATGATCTCCTGGCATGGCCTTAGCAGGGGTCAGAGGTTTATTTGTCTGATGTTAGAGCTGGTTGTAAATACCCACTAGGCTTCCCTGCCTTACCTTGTGGCATTCAGTGGGTGCAGAGAGGTTTGGGCTTTGGGTTGGGCCCTGGTCACATGGGCAACTTTACAGTCTGCTCATATCCAGTACTTTCCTGCTTCAAAGTCTTTAGCCGCAGTGTTCTTGGCCCATTCAAATGTTTTCTTTAAGACAGGGTTTTGCTCTGCAACTTTGGCTGGTGAGGAGCTTGTTTTATGTGGTATATAGGCCAGCCTGACCTTGAACTTGTAGCTATCCTCTTGCCCATGTCCCCTGAGTGCTGGGATTACAGGTAGGGCTTCTATACCTGGCCCAAAGCTTTGGGGCTTTAATAGCCTTACCTTTGTTTTTTTTTGTTGTTTTTTTTTTGTTTTTGTTGTTGT